TTATTCCCCTCATCTGCCGTTCTCTAAAAGCGCCACTGTGTACAATAGCTTTCTTTCAATTGGGGGATAACCCTTTTGGTTTCTTTGTGTTTCAACCCTTCGTTTGTCTTGGAAATTTTTTCGGTAGGAATTTCTGACTCTTTTTCGAAACCAGGGCTTTCCATCTTCAAATTAGTTTGTGATTTCTTCAGCTCTTCTGCACCAGTCTTGTAATCGAGATCTTTGTCTTGTGCTATTTTGATATCTTTATTTTCTACATGTCTCGCTATCTTATCAGAGACTTTCCCTGTATGCATCTTCTCTATATAACTAGAGCTTCCCATTTCTAATTTGGTTTCTGATTTATGCCTCTCACTTACAGAGGCTTTGTTTCCGCCTTTTTTTTCTAGTCTGTTATCCGCCCCACAAACCAACCTTCTGGAAGAATTCTCACTGGCGTCCTCTCTTTTAGCCTGAAGAGATTCACTTAACTCTGATTCCAATTTGTAGGTATGACTTAATTTTCCATGATTAAGATCATCTTTGGCAGCTTTTATATTATCCATGTCTTCTATTTCAGATACTCGATTCTTCTTCATTCCAATCTTTTCCTGACTCTTCACACAATCGAACTCTTTCCTAACTGCTCCATGCACTTTTTTTCCGACGATCTTTTCGTCTATAGGAATCTGACTATTCTTTTGCAACGTTGATGATGTTAGATTCCCAACTTCTGGAGTTGATTTTGGAGGTGTTTTGAGTATTAATTGCTTAGAATCTTGACTTTCTGTTGGTGTTTGGGCAGGAGGAGATTCGCTTCCTCTGTACCGACCTGCTATCTTGAGTGCTACCGTGTCTCTTTCCATGTGGTTTTCCGAGACAGGGACTTCTCCAGTTTGAATTATTCTTGAACTACTTTGGTCAAAAGTGTTGTTTGTATTGATTTGCTTCTTTTGACATTCTTGTGCACCTTCTTTTGTGTATTTGTATTCTCCTTCGGTGGTCTTTTTTTTGTTTCTGTCAATGTTCTGTAATCTTTCTTGCCTTTCATCCGTTTTATTTTTTAAATATCTTGGTTCGGACCAGCCTCCCCTTTCTTTGCATCTACATGTACATTTGTACGCTTTTATTTTTGATATCTTACCTTGAACATTCAGTTCGACCACCTTGTAATTACCTTCCCTTCTATCAGGAAGTAGTTCCTTGTTAGTAGTCAATCTGTTTTTGGGTCTATCTATCCTAGCGATGTCCACCCTTCGTCGTTCTCTTTCTGAACTCCGATTATCCAGAACAGAAGCGCGCCCTTCCCAAACATGTCTATATCTTTCTGCCTGTTTTTTTAGTCTTTCTGCAAGAGCTTTCAGTTCGTCGAGGGTCTTCCTGGACTCGCGGCGTCTTTTTATTCCATCTCGGCGACATTGTGTTAAAAAGTCTTTAAATTCCGTGATGAAATCCTTGTTTGACCCGTCACAGTTTTCTTGTTGCCTATCCATTGTTATGATAAACTTCTCTACCAGTTCCAGTTACAGCTAGATTGGTCTCTTATTATGCTCTTCTTACTCTGTGAATTTCTGTTTTCAGGAACGACTATAATATTGTATAAATATCCTCATTCCTCTATAGCCTACCGACAAATTTCTGCTCCTTATAATATGCTTCTCTTTGAGATGGGCATTATCTGAAAAAGTCATAGGCTACAAGATGGTCATTGATGAACTAGCCATAGTCTACGCAAAGCCGAAAGCCGGGGTTCATATCATTATATAGAATATAAGGCAACTTGATCGACCGCCTAGAATCTTGTCGTTTGCAAAGCGCATTAAAAATGTCGACAGGCTAAGAATCTATTTTTCAAACCAGCAAAGTTACCGACTTAACAGTAGAAAATAGTTTACCTGAATGTCACTTGATCAATCCTTCAATAAAATATCAATAAAATTCCTGCCAAATTCAATTTTCTTTGGAAATATTGGAGAAATTCCTGAAATTGCACTTCTAGTAGAGTTGCTTCTGTTCTGCGTTGCGACGTCAACCAGAATTATTTGAATTGACCATGACGTCATAATGTTTTTACGCTTCCTAGTAATGTAAAGCTCTAATCATTATACGAAAATTTCGGTGAAAGAATGAGGTTTTTATTTCATTAATTTCATTTCGTTTCTAAAAATCAATGAAAAAAAAGTATGAGCATCCCGCCAAGTGAATTAAGGAGACAAGCCCACAGTGGCTGAAATAGATGAGTGGGGGCACATAGACTTAAGTAGGCCCCCCCCCCCTCCCAAATCGAGGCTTTTAACGTAGGCCTTCCTGTATTCTGAGACTCCTCTGTAAGTCAAGTTAATGTCTGTTTTGAAATTGTAAACGCATGCGTCAAGCACTAGTTTAATGTTTCAGTCACCTTTCTGCATATACGATGGATGTAATAGCATGTACTGCTTTTGGTGTGAAAATAAATGCGTACAACCCAGAAGATCCTTTCTTGAAGAACGCCCAAGCTTTTACAAAATTAAATTTCGCTGGTCTTATGTTTATGACATACTGTAAGTTACCATTTGTATTTTTGTCTTGCAGTTTACGAAAGCACGAATTTTTAGTGTCTCTGTTCCACATATCAGAGATGAATTTGGCAGTATGCTTTTATGCCTTTTATACCCGTCGATTAAAATAATTGAGCTCTCCCTCCCCTTGAGAAATTCCAGCCCCTACTGACCTTTGTCCAGCTCATCTTTACAGTGTCAAGCTATTACGAACTTCGTCCTGTAGCTTGACTGCAATTGCTCCCCTTGCTTGCATCACGGAAGTTTATATTTGCAGTCATTAGCTAAGATTGTACGTTAGCGAATACAGCCAGTGGCCGAGCCAGGTTTACGTCCGAGGGGGGCGAAATGTCTGAGAATGTCAGAATATCTAACCTAGTTATGAGATTTTTGCCTTTCTTGCTTTCGGATCTGCGAAGGGGGGGAGTTATAATATTTACAGTCTATCTGTCGAGGGCTATGACTGTCTGTATTCTCTGGCGTACAATACAATCAACTAGCTACATTCCGTGATATACTACCCTGTTGTAGTCAAGGTATAAGACACAGTTCGTAATACCTTGACATTGTCCAGATTGGGCTACCTATGACCATACTAATGATTTGCAGATTTGTCTTTTATGTGATTTTTTTTTATTTGTATAGTTTTAGCTCCGTGGTTTCTTCCTGTTTTATTAAGATTAAATATAACAGTTGTACCCCAAAAACCATTACAATTCTTTATACAAACTATCAATGGAGCGATAGAAGCTAGAAAATCAGACTCTAATGTAAGTTGAAGTTTCAAAACTGTAAACTGGAATGAATTTGAAAACCAGACAACTGTTTTGGCTGAATTCAAATTTTGGCTACTCTGTGGTGGTGTCATAGTCGCAACTGATTTTGTGCATTCTGACGCATATTGTGGAGAAAAAAGTAGACATTTAGTTTTGTTAAAAATAAAGTGGGGGTAAAAATGAAAACCACTTTTCTATGGGCCCCCCTGTATACCTCCACTGGCGCCGCCACTGATCATTGGTCATTATTTAATATTCAAATTGTATATATTATTATCCAAACCGACCCCGATCCTGATCTATTTTAGTATTTTTCCCAACTTATTTTAAACCTCTGATTCGATTACAATAGCCAAGGATGGATTTATTACAAGCTATGTTAAATACACATAAAGAATCAGTAGAACCTGTAGAAGATGATGGATTGATGAGTAAGATGGTAGATTCTAGAAACAGGTTTGTAAGAAAAGGTAATGCACATTCAGAAAGACACGAGGAACTGTCGATATCTTGAAATTGTCGTCAATAGTAAGGAGTTGCAATGGATCCCAAATTCCAGTTGCCGAGGGTATTAAAAATTCGCTATACAAACATCAACCTTTAGCGTGTTCTCACAAAAACTCCAATTGCATATTCTCAGATTAATACTCCAGACTAAGCAGATGGGCTTATCAATTTCTTTCAAAATCCCGTTCTTGTTCGAAAGGATTGACGTAGGGTCCCTTTTTAAATTTAAAACCATTTGAACCGATTCGGCCATCGATTCATATCTTCTATCTCCAAAAGCATAATGTTCGTATCTTCAAGATATTGCATGTCCCAGGAAGAGGTGGACTGAGTGTGAAATAATATATTATGTTGTCATTGTTTAGGTTTTACCAACTCTGAGATATTAGGACATTCTGTAACGTTCTTCTTGGCTGGACACGAAACTACTGCGGCAGCCATGACATATCTAGCTTATAATTTAGCTCTACATACGGACATACAGCAAAAGGTTTTGGAAGAAATTGACAAAGTTCTGAAGAAGGTTAGTACCGCCTTTTAGCTTTGGTATCAAGTTGAACAGGTTACGACGCGGACTCACGAATTATGATGAACTAACAGTTCGCGGTATGAGAATGCAGAGCTCCTTTGGCTAATGATTTCATATTCCCAGCGCTGGAGAGGAGAGAGGTTTGATTGGTTAAAGCAGGGTTCATCAGGTAAGGTCAAAAGGTTATTTTGACGAATGTTCTAGAGGACCCTTACTTAAGTGGATATATTAAAAACAAAAGCACATATAAAACAGAACGACGGTTAAATTGAATTTTTATACCGAAATCTGAAAATCATAAATCACTATACAGATTGTGTACTGAAATATAGTTAACTACGGTATTGATTTTACAGGAGAAAGCCAACTACGAAAATATACAGAAATTAGAGTATCTTGATATGTGTTTATCAGAAAGTTTAAGGCTTTATCCACCATCTATAAGGTACGTTTGTGATTTGTTTGTTCGCGGAGAAGAAGTCACAATTCCTATTGATGTTGCCTAAAAGTGTAGTGCTTACAGCTTTATTGTTTGTGTAATGTATCCGGTGGTGTTATGAACATATGCTGAACTTGCTCGATTTTCTGAAAATTGTATGTCATTGCCAAAAGTTTTGCTTTTGCAAAAACTTATCGAGACAATCGGACAATTTTCGATCATTTTTGTTTGCTTTCTAAACACACTTGGCCCCTCCGTAATTCTGTTTATATCTTAGACTAGAAAGACAAGCCTGTAATGATGTAACTATTGGAGAGATAACAATACCTAAAGATACCATAATAGTAATACCAACATATACTATACATAGAGATGAGACAATATTTCCTGATCCTGGACAGTTTAATCCTGAAAGGTAGGTCTACAAAGTACCCACACAACAATTTCAGCTGTTATCACGAAAAACCCAAATTAAAGAGCATGCAGAAGAGAACACCTCGTCACCTCGTCTGATAAAAACATCATCATGCCCTCAACAAAGTCACATTTTTTATGAAAAATCAATCTAAAAAACTAATCTAAATCAATGGAGTTTATCAAATTCTTAATTCGTGGTTCAAGCATGTAGATGAGCCACTGTCATATGATGTGCACCGACATCTTTTTTGTCTTCTTTGTATTTCGCTGTTTTGTTTTTAAATTTCAGGTTTAGTGACCTAAACAAAAGTAAGATTCCATCGTATTGTTATTTCCCATTTGGTCTAGGACCTAGAAGTTGTATTGGCATGAGGATGGCTATATTAGAAGTTAAATTAGGAATGGTTGGTCTTCTTCAAAAATACAAGTTTTCTACCTGTGATAAAACCATGGTACGTATGAAAACTAGGTATCTTACAAAAGGGCGTTATGCACAATGTAGTCGATGGCTTTTTGATAAGTTTGTTCCTTTTGGCGCTAAGTCGAAACACTATATACGTTCGATCGTTTTACAGGGATAAGACTCAACCACTCGTTCGACCATGTCGGAAGTAAAAACTACCACAGAAATGGTCTGTCAACATTTTTGTATCAAAATTACCGAAGCAAATTGGCCCTATTCCCTTTTTGTTTCAAAAACTGTTCCTCAAATTTTGGTTTGTAGTACCAAAATGCATGATCCATATTATTAGCAATACCATTTTTCGCACAATTGTTACTTCCGGTTGGTATGTTTTGGTTCTTAGCTTTAAGGCGTTGTCCTCGGTTTTTCCAGATGTAGATTAACCACGATACTTTAAAACCTTCAAATGTATTTTTCAGATACCTCTAAAGTTCCGGAACTCTACTCTACTACAAGTTGATGGTGAGGTTTTTATTCAATTTACACCTAGATGATGTTAGAAGATAGCAAAATACACCAAATACGCCAAATATTTTATTAAAAAAATATGGATTTAATAAACATCTGATTACAATATATAGCTTGCTCGTATTTCAATTAAAAATGTGCCACATTGACCTATGTGAAATTAATATATAATACTGCTTGATTAACAAAATATATACGTTTATAGTTGTACAAAATGTGATGATATCCACAAATGCCTCAGGTTTCAAATCTTAAAAGTTAAAAGAATCAAATGGTGGTATAAACAGTTGATCACTTTATAATTTATACTTATACAAGTTGTGTATGCGCAGAATAACATTAGGGTACAATGGATCATAATCTACATTAGTCCGATACTTCTGCCTGTATTACTTCAGTCTCTCGTAGCTATTTCGAAAGTATTTCGATAACTGTAAAAATAGCTATCAGAGGTTAAAATAGAGGCAGATGATTCGGGCTAACTCAGCACCAGCTTCTCAACGTACGATTCTCTTAATTTGTTTCTCTTATCATGCAAAAACATCAACCAATCCGTGTTCAACAGTTTCTTTCCGATAATCCTTCTGACAAAATGTCCTGTGATCGTATCCAGTTACACAGGTCTATCTGGGACAATATAATACAAGCATGGTGTTTCAAATGAAAATAAAAAATGAACGAAAACAGAAATATTTCAACTAATAATATGCACATTTGCTAGGGGCATTCATTTGGCTACCAGGTTTACATTTAAAAGCTCTAGTAAATTCAGATATTTGACTCATAGCTAAGTTGGTTCTAACGTCTTCTTCAACACGACCTCTAACCGCATTGGAATATGCCGCTGCATTTTTTCTATTATAGCAATATGACTGCAAAGGAAAAAAAGTATCAACAAAAATATTGAAATAAAAGTGTAATTGATGAACGGGTGCTATTATGAACTACATTTCACATCTTGAGCAAAAATTTCTAAAACATTTCATATGTAGTGTCTGCAACTTACAAATAATGCCCAGACGGTGGATCAATTCGTTTTTGTTTATGTTGAAAGTATTAGTTTGTCATATTAGCATTATAGGTTAAGTAGCATTTATAATCCATAGTTTTAATAAACCATGCTTAACGCTGGAAAGGGGTGAGTATTATAAATCAAAAAGTAAAGATTTTCCTACCTGTGCTTGGGCCACAAAGAACATCTGATCGTTTGTTAAACCTAGAACCGGAGAAAGTGGCTCTACACCATTATCACTTTCCCATTTCCTATATGCCTATAGATATAACAGATTTAATGAGCGGGTTCAAAACAAGTTGTTCATACAAATCCAATCAGAAGTGACAATGTTTTAACAACAGAAAAACTTTCTAGTAATGTTGAAAAAAGGGCCAAAAAGGACCATGTGATGCTAACTTACCTTCAAAGCTAATTTAATACCAGTAGTATAGGATATAGCTCGTCTAGCATACCACTTAGCTTTAATTGGAATCTAAAAAAACATGACAAAATCTATTAAATTTTGTAGGCCTTGAAACATGTTTGGTTTTCAATTGACTACGTTGGCGCACATTCGCTTGGGAGCATTTTCATACATTTATTGATGGTCAATGTGGCATACGAGATTGATGGATTTTTAAAACAGATTTACCAGTCGATTATGATTGATGGATACCAGAGCGACTCACAAATACAAAACCTTTAAACGTTCGGATGAGACAATTACCCGATGTCGGAGATCCTCTCCGCTACGGCTGTGCAAGTAAAGGTCATTCGATGTTTGCGACAAAAAATATGGGGGTATTTTCCGTTGCAAAACTGTTGACGGTTTAAAGATGTGAGACCTTGGCAGTGATTAATGGAAAAATGCACTCCCTATAATAATAATTTTTCAAAAACAAAATAATAAGAACAAATACCATTTCTGAAGTACCATCTGGAGCTATATAGGGTCCCTGTGTTTTATTAGTATAGTAGTTCAAAACACACTGTTTCACAGAAGCATAGTTAGTTTTAGTACCATTAGTCCACCAAGTCTGTGGCGTCCATTTTCCTTTTTCTGACCAATACCGACCTACATGAATAAAACTAATGGTCAGCCAGGGGTTTTCAAACTTCTTTCTTTCTATTACCCTTTCAGGATTCTAACTAGATTGCATTATTCCTGTTCCCCTTATAGTTACTATTTCTTGATTCTAGTTTCTTAGATTTTCCATTTGCAGGTGGTAGAAAATAGCCTGATCCGTTTTTCGAATACAAATATCCTTATTAGGTCAGTTGGTTTGGAAATGGGAAAAGGGGGACTAAAAAATAAGGAAACCTAGACTCAAAAAGATGATCAAAGTTAGGGTATTGATAAAACATCCATTTCCGGTGCTTCTGATCGTTGTTTTGTGGAACTGTGGAACCTAAAAAACGGATCAGCAACATAAAACACTATGAACAACGTCTTACCTCTCTCGTCAATCATATTAGTCATAAAATGTCCTATAAGAGAACCCATCGATCCAAAATTAGCGTAATGAGGATTCTTATAGTCGTATAATGGCGACTGTAAAAATCCCGCTGGGACTATTATTTCGTTCCAGTAAAATAAGACCGCCATACTGGTATCGTACACATTGTAAACCCATTTAGTTCTATCTACGTCGCCAGCTAACTCATTATCATAATGGACTTTTTCAAACTGATTAACATTCATAATGTTCTGGAAATAATCTGTTCTGTTGATAGCTAACTGAAATATACACATTATGATGGTGATAAGAGAAAAAGGCGTCTAAACGTCAAACAACACATTTCCTATTATAGACTGTGTCAACAAGACGTAGGCTACAATATTCAGACAGGGAAGAAACCATGCAGTGAAGATAGAAATAGAGAGTTAAATATTTAGTTTGAGGTGATTTTCATACAGTTTTTATTAATTCTGAATTTATTTGTACATATACTTAAGGTCCAAATCAACCCCCACGGGCACATTAAATGCCATTCAAGATAAATTTCTGCAGAAACTACAGCCTTAGGACGAAAAAGAGAATGGACCAAATAGAAGCTGAAATCGTACTCGATAAACATGCAAAAGCTCAACAGTCTATTTTAAATCCAAATGAACTATTATACATATATTTATATACACAGGTACCTACCGAAGAATATATTTTATCAAGTTTATCCGCACTCAACATAAAATCAGGATAACCAATTTTATACACTGTTTTTGCTAACTGTAAAACAAGAAAAGAATAAGGAACATCAGAAATATTTTTCCCATTAAGGCGTTGCTTCATCACACAATACCGGGGATGATCTCTATGTTTCAAGGGTAAGTAGAGAGGCCAAAAGAGGATGAACCGGAATCTATACAATATACAATTTAATATATCTAGTGGTTATTGGCGTTCCAAAATGGCTTTGTTTATCATTTTCTCTTGATCTATTGCTATCCAATGGGTTATTTTTCACATCGTCAATTAGAAGAGCTGATTGCCAATAGATCTTGTCAATGACTAACTGATGAGTTTTCTGGAGAGTCTTGTAAATTATGGCTGTTCCTTTTTTTTCGTCTTTGGAAACGAGTTATTGTTGTAAGCCTTTCAAGAATTGTTAATTTCCAAGGACTTGGATAAAAAGCCTTTGTAATTGACCCCAGAAGCTGTATAAACCAGGAAAATCAAATGATCTGATATGAAAAAAGAGAGAAGTTACCTTTGATTTTGCTATCTTTTTAGTGGCGCTATCCAGGAATTTGTTATCATCTATTTCTGATATCAATGCCTTAGTTACATAGTCTGTTATTTCTTTTGCCTTAGAATTTAGACAAATTAACATAAAACTAAACATATTAAAAGAAATCAAAATGCTCTTACAGTGACGTAACCTCAGATAATGATAAGAAGGTACCGAATTAATGTGATCAAATCGACTCTGGACGAAAGACTTATTGAATTGAAAGAGCTTCATTACATTTGGATCAGTAGTTTCCATGCGTTATGTGAACATCCATTATCCAAAGTTCCAAATCCGTTGAATTTTGTACGTCCGGAAGTGTTAGTTTGAGTGTTTGGATGGTTGGTATTTGATACCAACCCCGCCTCTAATGACCAAAAGATACCATTGCTTACTTTTACAAAATTTTGAAACGCCCCTCTAGGAATTAGCATTAACTTTACCTTATCACGATTTTTATCAGCAAAATGATCTCTAACAAAAAGAGAACTTAAAGCTTCTGGCATTTTCTTGTCGATATATTGGTAACAGTATTTCCATGTGCCGAGGAATTCAGTTTGTCCTCGGATATCAACATAGTACTCTCTGTTAGCATGTACATATTCCCATGATAGATGTGTCGCATAGGATTCCAATAATCTCCAGATGAAATAATTATGTAACATTCTAAAAAAGGAATAAGGTGTAGATTAGACAGCAGATTGCAGGGATCGTTTTCCATGAGGCAAAAATCCTTTTCGCCCAAAAAAGAGAGAAGGATCTCAGTGGGGGGTCTTGCGCCGCTTTGGGTAACCCCCCTTTCAGTAGACATCATATCATATTTATATCTTGAATTTTGTGGACAAAATCTACTTCTTTTTTATTTCATATTTAAATGGTAAAATTAACCATTAAGCTATCATATTGGGTGATACCACTACAACAAAGTTATTACACATCGAGATATCACGGATACGAGTAAATTAACCAGATTCGGAGAGGTGCATGTCTTCCGCGGGGGCGATGAATTTGGACCCTACACCTCTGGTGGTATGTCAAGGTTCTTGGAATTAGAATGGCGCTCATGAATGAACGTTCACTTAACTTAATAATTCTTTAAAATGACCTCCAAATAAATATACCTATTTTTGGTGCCACTATCTAAATTATTAACCAAACTACCCAAACCGAAAATAAAATCTTTCTTATATAGAATAACTGACGAGTCTTTAGTTAAAGCATTAGGAAATTCATACTGCATCTGAGCCACCCAATCAATCTGAAAAAGAACAAAATATAATGACAGATTCTACTACCAATACAATCTTATCTTTTTGTCGGTGAAATATCATTAGAGGATAAATGGATTTTTTATACCAGAGCAGTTACAAGAGACTTCATTTGTTCCAAGCCTTACTACACCATTAGGGCAATGTTCCAAGACAGCTGTGTACGTTGTACCCTTAGATTCATGGGACCAATCTAAACGATGAGGTACTTCTTCCATACCAATTTCGTCAACCCGGATCACCAACAAAGAGAAAAATTGCTGGAAAAAATCCTAAAGAGACATTTAGGGGTACATTGGTAAGGATGACGTGAAAAAAACATTCTTTACTTACCACATTGCCTGAATTAATTTTTAAATCATTTAATGTTATTCTACTTGATGTTTCAAATCTGTCTCTGTTGACTGCTGATCTTTTATATAACTGTAATAGATATGTTCAAGTAAGTTCGATCAATATAGTTCCGGGTAGTGGTTGGAAAAGTTATTTCAAGATTATAGTATTGGACGTAGGCGTTGGTTTACCGGTGGGTGGATGTCGATAAAAAAAAGCATGACCTGCTCGTCCTTCAGCACAATCTGGTGCAACTCTACGATTAGGTTGAGTTAGAAATTTGAAAATTTCGTGTCGGATATTCGATTACCCATTGTTCCTATATTTCGGAAGTTTGTTTCGTAAATACAGCCAATTATAGCCTGTGCAACCATATTGTTTCTGTTGAGGATTCTGACTGGCTCTGTTTGCTAGTGTGCAATCCAAAACAAGAAAAGTAACCTATGATGTCAAGGTATTAGACGTGTGTTGTAATAGACCGATATTACGAGGATGTCCTCACCTCAGCTAACTTGGTTTCCATAGTAAAAGCATCACTAACAAAATCTTCTATTCTAGAGTCTATATCTGGTATGTTCAGTTTAGAATCTCGGGCTATTAAATTTGCTAGTCTTCTCATGAATTTCTTATAATCATCTTTTACCTGTTAAAGAAAAAGAAATATGTTAATGGAACGTCACTTTAAGTTATGTGATAAGACGACCATTGAGAAACTTGCATATCATGTTTCATAAAGTAATTAATTCATCATGTTTCATGTAGAAACTTGTGTATTAGGTTTCATTTGGAAAATTCATTATTACGTTTAATTAGAAACTCGTTCTTGTATTCATCATGTTTCATATGGAAACTTGATAATCATGTTTCATTTAGAAATCAAGAAATAAACTTTGACTCAACAGGTGTGTAGATATTTCCCTTGGAAAATTGGTCATGTTTCAAGCATAAATAGCATGCTTTATGTGGAAAATTGATCATGCTTCAAGTGAAAAAATTGATCATGTTTCATTTGGAATTGATCATGTTTCATGTGGAAAATCGATCATGTTTCATTTGGAATTGATCATGTTTCATGTGGAATATTAATCATCTTTCATGTGGAAAATTAATAATCATGCTTAATTTCAGAACTTTACCAAAAAATGTGTTTTGTTTGGAAACATTTGTTTCTGTCCAAAACTTGTTGATTATGTTCCCATTTATAATCTTACCTTTTGGTTATCAGTTCTGGTATAATAACTCCAACTCATATATTTTCCGGATCCTGCTGGGTACAGCTGGAACAGACATTTTATTTTCAAATGAACACTCCGAATTATCAGATAAACTCAAAGCGTGTACAGAAGTTAATACGATTGCGTATTGTGAAAAATGTAGAATTTTGGGATACGATTTGAAAGTGTGGAACCATAACGGAGATATAAACTTTTCATTACTCTAAATTACAAAAATATAGCGAAAGGAAAGGTTATTGTGTATTGGGTTGGTGTTCGCAGGGCCATAAAGTAAAATTTTCAAATGACCAAACTGCCGAAGATATACGACAGCTGGAACTTTATGACTTCTTTTTAAAGGAAAATAGTTTGTTTTTAAATCGAATATCTTGCAAAGCTGTACTAAGGTGTAGAAGTGAAAAATAGAAGTACCTGAACAACATTTTTGTCCCAGTCTTTCCAATCAAAACCAACACTGTTGGTCCAAAAAGCTGCTACCCACAAATCTGTCTGCACTGTCTTTAAGTTGCTGTTGAGGTCGAATTGATTGGAATCCCAACTATTTAAAACATACCAACCACCCATTTTAGGTAAAATCTTCTCAATAAATGGACGCCCACGACGCCGTTCTTTGAGATAATCATCCAAACAAGAATTAAATAAGTCTTTTAACTTAAGTTCAGCTGCCCACTCAGTAGAACGTTTTGTTGGAGCTTCCAAAAGATTTCTTAACTTGTCTTCGTTTCTATGGTAAACATCGTCCATAACTGTCCTGGAGGTATGATCTGGTTCGAGATATTTGAAGGATGAATAGGTACCACAAGCATATTGGTAGAAATCTGTACAAGGATCGACTGAAGAATTCATTGTATAGGCTACATAGGCTGCCATTTCCAGACATCTTGCGTTATTACAGGTTTTGGGGACCGTTTTATTATGTGCTGCACCGAGAAATCCTGCTAAAATGAACATTATCAATAGCGTAGCAGTTAAAACACCACCTAAAATATACTCCCTTCTCGTCCAGTTCATACTTGAAAAATTAAACGATGGAACACTTAGATTCCCGAATTTCGAATTCGGATTGAATTCTTTTAGATTGTCCTCTTTATTATCCGTCATCTTGATATATGTCTACCGAATTCCAACTCTATAATCGAACTGTTACAGGCTCTGGGTTGGTTAGAAAGCGCACAGTCCCACCAGATACAACATCAGAAATGAGAATAACGCCCCCTAAATATTAACTGATAAAATGCTTTAAGGGATATTAATATTGAATCTCATTAAGATATACAACAGGTATAAACTGACACCTAATATACATGGTAGCGACTAGCATCCCCATTAGAATTAACTTTTGTCTTCTGATAAGGTAATCCTTAAAGTAACCCTCCCAGTTAGATTTCATAATAGTTAAATTAAAATATACGGCATAAATAGTTCATTGTTGTTATAAACAAAGTTTATTAAGCTTTGTGACAATATTTCAATCTGCATCTTAGAGATAATCTTAGAGAGAATCTTACAGAGAATCTTACGGAGAATCTTACAGAGAATCTTACAGAGAATCTTACAGAGAATCTTACAGAGAATCTTACGGAGAATCTTAGAGAGAATCTTAGAGAGAATCTTACAGAGAATCTTACGGAGAATCTTACAGAGAATCTTACAGAGAATCTTACAGATAATCTTACGGAGAATCTTACAGAGAATCTTACAGAGAATCTTAGAGATAATCTTACGGAGAATCGTACAGAGAAAAAAGGGATCTAAGTCTGGAGCAATTGCCAAAAGAGCGAATAGGAAAATTCGTTGATTTGGGTCTTGAACTATTATATGGTGTCCAAAAAAAAAAACGTCCCCAAGTTCAACAGGTAGTATGATAACTGTAGGTAAACTGATCTCTATCAAAATTTTCACAGATATACTTCAAGTTCTCATTGTCCAACAAAATAACATGTCAAAAATGCAATATCAAGGCAACTTGCCTATTTCAACCTGTTCCTTCCATCTCCTTCGCCCACCAGTTTACCAACATCTGAGATACTACCAGTCGAATATTGGGACGTTTTTATTTGTGACACCGATGTATGTAAATAGTCTTCAGAAGTACTAGAACTGCAGGACAATATCTCCAAATATACCTCAAACTAGAAATTTATGGCAGAGGTTCAAGAAAAGATGAGTCGCATTTTAACTTTCAAACTTGCAAAATTCTGGACACACACGGATTTGAAGGCCCAAATTTTGACAATTATGCTGTGAACACTATTAAGGATTAGCTCGTTTCTGTTGATACAATTGGTAAAAAAATGCCGAATCTGTCTCTTTAAAGTAACCATTCTTGTTAGATCTCTTATAACAGTTAAATTAAAATATATTGCATAAAAAGTTCTGTGTTTTTCTAAACAACGTTTATTATGCTTTATTGCAAAATTCCAAGCTGCATCTTACAGAGAATCGTACAGAGATTCTTACAGAGAAAAGGGTTCCAAGCCATGAGCAATTGTCAAAAAAGCGAAAAGAAAACTTCTTTAATTCAGATGGAGAACTCATAAGCTCTGATGAATTGCATTCCAAGATACAGTCATTCACCATTAAAGAAATTATGATATAAAGTTAGTTATTTCTATATAAACAATGATATTAAAGCCCTAATTACAGCTTAAATACCGTAAACATTCAGTAATGAAGCCGTTTTAAAACGAGTTGTCTCCCGTTATCTGACAGACATAGCCTTACCTTGAAAAGTCAGGTTTCGTACTCTCGTATTAGGCTTAGTACTTGAGGGATTAATATTTTAAGAGATTAAGGAAACTGTCAAGGATTGCCGACTGTTTTTTGACTTCATTTCTTAACCTATATGTTATGCGTTTTGTGTACATTGCGCAATAATCTAAATAGTGAAGAATAGGATAGAACACCATGTCCTATTTTAATTCAGATTAATATTCAGAGTGTCTAAAAATAGTTAATAGTGTTCGTTGGCTTGTTAGAACTTGAATGAATGAATAAGGAAGTAAGACTATCATCTGTCAATCCTGACGCAATGGCTTTACTAGATTATTGGGGGTCCTATGGTGTTCATGTCGTTCCTGAACGTGAAACATCATATTTTTGATACGTCCACATTATCATTTATTTTCAACGATTATGTGGAATTTTTTGCTCACTAACATAGGTGTACCACATGAATCTGAAACCTGTTCGCCCCTCTTCATATTCGCCCTGGGTTCGTTCGCCCTATTTCATATAATATTATATGATCATTTAAATAGAAATGCCAGCATATTAAAACAAAGCACTAAATATATGATAAAGCAAGTCATTCCTTAGTTCATATAATGCAGACCAGAGTGAACGAACTTGATTAGTCAGTTTTAAGCAGTACCTCACAATCTCGTCTAGATTTCACCAATATATCGGAGAAAGCTCTGCAGTACATGTATAGGGAAATTTTCTTCAGACTGCAGTGGTACCCCGAATCATTTCTTACAAATTTAAAAATGTAATTTTATACGTTTCTGCACCAAAATATGTCAGAATGCACCTTAAGTTGACCCCCTGTCCCCTTTTTGCAACCCAATCTAGGGCGACTGGGGCTGCCACTACAGGGCAGCGGTTTATGTCTATATATATTTTATTGTTTTACAACTTGTGCCTTTTCCATGTCACTTTCCATATATTAGAAATCAATATTGTCTATCTCGCGGAGCTGTTACAAATCTTTTCGTTTTCGATCAATGTCATAGCCCCGATTGTGTTAACTATTTCATTTGTAGGGGTTTATTTTCCAATTAACCCACTTATTTGTATCTGCTCAAAATTGTAACCTGCATTCATTTTTTGATTGAAAAGACGAATAAATATGACCTATTGACCCTTGTAAAAGTATGTAAGTAAAAAGGGATAAAGGGTTATTTATTGTAAAGATCAGCTTCACGATATATGTACGTGTTACTTTTTATAATATTTTACACTCTACAAGGTCATATTGTATATCATTATGTTATTATATTATGTGTGGCATACATATTGATATAGTTACCGGTATATTTCAAGTATTAAAGACACCACATCACATATTTACTATCCGGAAGTCGATACGGTGTAATTCAATTTCTGGACACAAGCTTATGTGGATGTGTTTAAGGTTCACCAACTAAAATCATAAAGTTCCCTGCTCGCATCTTCACAATGTCAAGCTATTACGAACTTCGTACTTAAACATTGACGGCATAGCTTGTATCACGGAACGCAGCGATTTAAAGCTATTGTAAGCCAGCGAATACGGCCAATCAGAGCCCTGATTCACTGTATTTGCTAGCGAACAATCCAATCAAATCGCTTCATTTACAAACTTCCTTGATACAAGAATAATGGCTATTGCAGTCAACGTATAAGACGAAGCTTGGCATTGTGAAGATGCCTTTTCGAGGCCTGTGATATTTCAAATTTACTTTCATGGTTATGCAATTTTCTTTTATCTCTTTTAGCTGCCCTGAGCCGGGTTTTGACGACCCGGAAGTGATTTCTGTCACTGTCTTCAGGACATGTTTTTGTTTAATAGTATGGTAATTAGACGAAGAAAGAATCTACAAAGAATAGAGACAATATCAATTTTTTCCAATTTTTATGGGGTTTAACCTTGGATGATAAAGTACAACTTCACCAAGTGTAGTCAAAATCTGCCAAGAATTGTGCCTCTGGAGTCTTTCCAACCAATCGTAGACGGACAGACGAATCGACGTACATGGCTAACGAAAATATACTCTTCATACATCATGTGGCAATATAAAAATAGTTTGAAATGAACCAGTAAGGTTCCTTTCCTTTCCCCAAATACCTGTCATAATCAGTGATGTAAAAAGGGGGTTTACCCCTCTTCAGTTCGTGGAGGTAAATTTTGAAGAGAAAATCTTCATTATCAAAATTATCACAGGCCATCTGAAATCCTTTGGCCCCTGGCAGATCCCTGGCCTCAGGAATTTTCTAAATACGCTCAATATGTGGTTGTGAATTGAATACTAATTTCATATTGAAAATACTGTTTATGTAACAATTAGAACACTCTTATGAAAGTCTGATCTTATTATGTACGTGTAGTCATAAAAACCACATTAAATATCGTCTTAAAAGGGATCGTCATTGCTAATAAAATTGTTTTCAAATAAATTTGTTTTGGGGATCTATTGGTAATAGTCACAAGCTATCTTTTATCGCTGTTGTGTTAAACCGTATACTTATTTACATAATAATAAAGAAAGTGGGCTATCCATGAAAGCATGTTGACATTTTATATAAGGTTAATGGCATATGACTACAATACCGACTTATCTATGTACAAACATATTATGCCATATTATGACATTCTATGCTATGCTAAAATACTCTATAGAGTTAAGTCTTGGGTCTAATAGATCTTCATGATCCATTGTTACACCCTTTTTTATTTTGGGCTATAGTTTTCAATAACATAACCATTATCGCAACCATATAGAAAAGAATGTGTGCTACAGGTTTTGCACGTTGACGATCCTTCGACAGTAAGTTTGAAATGTAATTAAAGAAGGCTAATGTTGCCGTGTTTGTTAAATCTTCCCACTGTCTAGCGTTGCACTTATCATATGTCTAATCAGGTGCAGAAAAATAGGATGCAAAAATCCAGTAAATTTTATCTACATAATGATTTTTATGTCTTAAACGACTGTGTCATACTTTTCTTCACCAATTGTGTTTGATTCACGTGATGAAAATGCTTTTAAGACTTTTTTTTTCTAAAAACCGAGATTGTTTGGTTTCTGTAGGTGTCGTGGCAATATGATTACCCGCAAATCAAGTGATAATTTATCTTAAATATTCAGATATTCCTTTTGACATAGCCACCTTTCTTGTGTCACAGTAGTTTGAAATTGCAGAAAGCCTGTAAACAATAAGCCATAATGTTTACAGTTTTTCTGTCCGAGGCTATGATTGGCTGTATTCACTAGTGTACAATCCAATCAAATCTATCACAGCTAATGCAGTCAAGGTGTAGTTCGTAATAATTACGAACTATTTATAATAGATTGACATTGTGAAGATGACGTTTTACAAACACGACAAAAAAATCGAAAATATCTTAGATAGTGATGTCTTTAATCATTGAACTACTTGACCCCCAAACCTAATGAATTTGACCTTTAAACTTGTGATTTTAATCAAGAATTGTTTCGATCACATTCGAATAGCGTATTTTTTTCAGTGATTTCCTTTCCTTTTTGATTGTTTCATTTTTTAAAGTCTTAACAAAATAACAAGAAAGTGAGAAGCGATTAATTTTAAAAAAAAAATATTTTTACACTTTTAAACATCTTGCGGTCTAAACGATTTAAAAGTTGATTATGAAAAAATATTTAACAAATAATTGAGAAAGCTTTGAACTAAAATATGTTGTCTAAAAAAAGAATTAAAAAACAAAGAAGAATAAAATCGAGGTTTTTATATACAAATGTTCAATGTTAGTAAATTCTTTTGTTTATTGTATTACTACGTCATGAAGTATTTTTGATTTATTTTCCGTCAGGGTCGGAGTATTAGCTTTTCACATTATGATTCCGCTTATACCTTGACTGCATTGGCCCACATTTTTTTGATTCTACGAATACAGCCAATCAGAGCCCACGATTTCATGCGCAATTATTTTTTACAGTCTTTCTGCCGAGGACTTGGATTAGCTGTATTCGTTGGAGTACAATCCAATCAAATTGCAGCATTCACAAACTTCGGTGAAACAAGAAAGTGGTACATTAAAGTCAAGGTATACGATGAAGTCGTAATCCCTTGACCATTGTGAGGATGTATTAGTGCACATTAATAGAAATACCAATTCTTGCATTAAACATGATTTAAGCATTCCTTGCAAACGAGATTGGCGTGAGGTGTTAAGGTTAACGTCTGCTGATATATTGTATGTTTTGGTGCAATTAATCTGTATTTTATATAAGCAATCATTTGAAAGAGATCGACTTGATGTTAGTGTACACGTTTATCAGCATCATCACATAAACAACCCCATACCTCTTTCTTAACCAACATCAAACCTTAAAAAATTAACAGGTATCCTGTGATGTCGCTGTATATATTCCTTCGCAATAAGTGTCATTAAGTGAAATGTTCGTTTCGGATGAACGAAGCAGAGAGTAAACGAAATACGATTGAAAGCCCAGATAAACACTTTAAAGAGTCAAACATTTTCATAAAAAAGTGTAGCCTATATTAAAGTACAAATTTATGCCGGCAGTACGTAAAATAAACCACAGAAATCAAAAACTGGGTTGGCCATTCAAACCCTTAATTGCGTATGAAATCCGATTGATGCAATAATAGCGACAAAAATTGTAACCGACTTGCATAGATAGGCCAGTGGTATGGTCATTGGTCTGAATATTGGTAGACGGAAGTCCACCCAATTTGATAATTACAATAGATCGCTATATGGTACATGAATCAAATACACCGTGTACGAATTTTGCTTCTGAAATATGTAGTATACTTTCTTCGCATCAAACGTTGTGGTTTCCCTAACGAGTTCTGGACCCAAATTTTAGGCGAGTCCAAAGTGCACTGTCATAAGCATATATTTTTGTTAAAAGTCGTAAATTTTATGAAAGCTCAAGTCATTAAAGGTTGCAAGAAAAGATTGCAATCAACAATCACTAACTGCACGTGCCGTGCCACCCAACCCCTGTCATTTCCGGTATGTGTTATTTCGGCAAATCAGTGTAAAATCAAAGTAAAGAGAGAAAATTATAGATTGAACTTTGTATAAAGAGATAGAAAAACACTTTACGAATTTAACCAGGCGTAAAATATTTATAATAAATGTTCAAAATATGATTTACCTTAGTCATTGTAGTTGAGATGTTATCTCACTTTATGTTATCTGAATTCTATATCTGAATTCGTCAATAACCGTTACCTAGGCAATAAAATTAAACTTTTAGCTTAGAGGCGCAATTAGTATTACCTTCAAAGCATTTTCTATTTTTCTGTTTTTTTTCTATTTTAAGGAGTCTCTTGCTCGCCTATAAAATAGGTGATTAATTGAAAATAAAGTTAAAAAAATTAATCAATTTATTTTTTACAAATTGTCAAAATGATTGACGCAGTATTTGGGAATCACTAATTCTCTTTTGAGATTTGTAGCATTCATTCCATTTCGTTTTATAGACCTTGACGATACGACGTACTAAATATATAAGTAGAAATAGACAGTGAAATTACTAGTTTCAGGTATATTTGAAGGAATCGTACAGTTTCTTTGGAGACTATTCATAATCATATTCAAGGCCCAAATCAAGCCATTAAATTACCGATTGTTGCCTTTTATTTTGGCTAAGGTTCTGTTTCTGTTTTTGGTAATAAGAGCATAAAATGAAATGGTACGTAATATATCTTACAACTCTTCCATGCAAAAAAACAATGACTTGTACTATTGTATTGTTGTCAGTGAGTGGATTATATCTTTACATGTGTTTTTGATCAATAAATAATAATTTTCTGTATTGTCTGATGCTCGTTACGTCATTTACAAACAGTCAGACTATTTCAATTATGTGTCAGATAATATGATTAAGGAAATTGCTTTGTTTTTAATGAAAAGAAATTTAATAAGTTTCTTTCTCAATGGTTTATTATTGTCTTACTAAATACACTTTAATTCAGACATGTTAGGTAGGTCACGTGATATCTGCATTCTACCTTGGTTAAAATATAAATACATAGCGATATATCAACTTGAATAATATTGTCTCGTTGCTTGACCAACTGAATTGTGTCTCGGGTGAAAGAGATCTTTACACTACATTGAGCTTCAATTCACAAGGCATATTGTTTACATGTAGAAAGGACATACTTATTTTCGTGACTTGGATATTTAAGACAGTGTTCGAATCGAATTAAATTAAAAAATGGCTGACAATTATAAGGAATTCGACAAGGCATCAATTATAAGCAGAGCTCCTTCCGAGTTTAGCTTCAAAGGTTTTGCTGTTAGAAAACGTGAGGTTGCTTTAGCGGGAACTCTGTTAGTGGCAGTAATAGTCATCGTCATTCTTGCAGCAGTGTTAGGTTCAGTAAACAGAAGACGATCGAGGGAACCTAAAGTTGATGGTGTATTTGACAACTTCTGTATTACTCCGGACTGTCTTAAAAGTGGTGCTTTCATTCAAAACAGCTTGAATATTAGCGTAGATCCATGTCAGGACTTTTATAATTATGCCTGTGGATCATTCAAAGAGACTCATCCACTAGAACCGGGCAGCACTTACAGAACCGTGGTCTCTGAAATTTACGATAGCAACCAACAAAAGCTGAAAAGGGTATTAGATGTTCCCGTCCAACGCAAAGGTATAAATTCTGCTGAACAGAAGGCCAAAGACTATCATAATGGTTGTTTGGATGATTATGGTAAAATGAAGCTTGGTGGCAATCCATTTCTAGAGAAAGTTATCAGTAAAGTTGGTGGTTGGTATGTTTTAGACACCATGGAAGATTCCTATGATTATAAAAAGATGTTTAAGAAGGTGCACGTTGACTTTTGGACTGATGCTTTGTTTACTTTTAATGTCAGAACTGATTGGCTCAACTGGCTGAAAACATCTATTCAGGTAAGGATAAATTTCTATGGTTTACCAACAGACAGAATTACCACGAATTCACAAGATCTTTCCTACCATTTGGTTCTAGGTCAAGTCTCATGGCCTTTCTGGGATTTTCGAAAACCATTTACACTCTATAAGATCAAAAAATAACAGCCGCCGATTTTGCCGTTCTTTGGACAAGATTTTTGTGTTACGGGATTGTCTTGCTTGCAAGGATTTTATTTCTGACTCTCAAAGAAAGAGATTCTTGAAGTTTGACTAGTTAAGTTAAAGAGTGACTTTCCTGGTTGGACATTGTTTGTACATGCTAGGTTAGATACACTTTCAGAATGTGCATGGCATATATCTTCACCTAAAAATGAACAATTAACCCATTCGATTTTTAGCTATATCACATCAAATGAATCTATCATTAATGTGTTTTGATTATGAACCCCAAAGACCAAAACCCATATTCAAGCAAACACGTTCAACTTACGTTGATTTTTGAAGCGAAACCTTGCTGAAACGTTCAGTTTGTAGAGGAGTAGAGTAGAAAAATAAAAAATGTATAAATTATTAGAACGAATGTATTTAACTTCATAAAAACTTCCTTTCAATATCATGTATCATACTATTTATATAAAGAATCTTTTATTATAAATTATAATAATACAAAAAAAAAGAAAAATTTTTATAATAAAATTAATTGTTTAATAGTTTTTTTTTCTGAATTATCTTTAACTTCCTTAATCTTCCGTTATAGAAATATTTTCAAGATAAATACAATGGATTTCTATGATTTACAACATTTTTTACTACAGAAACTTTATCGTGTCAGAATTCGAATATTTCGCTCACATTTAAATGAAATGAATGGAGTTTTACGTCCTACTTTTCTGCATGTGAGCTAATGAAGACGGGCGCATTTAAAGTCTTAGAAATGGTTTTGATTGTGATTTGAAGGCTTTGATGAAATACAAACACATTTCAATAAACAAATTGTAGAGGGTCACACTTTACATTTTTACCTTTTAGTGATGAGCTTAGAAAAATATACCTACTGTTTTAAGTGTGTTTTTACTCTGTGTGTGTTTTAGTATTGAAAAAAGGAACAAATTGTGATCAGCAATACAATATAAGCTATTACAAATAAGATTCATATATGATCTATTGTAAAATTCCATTATGAATCGTATATTTTAAAACTGGTGTCTCGACAAGTCCAACTTTTGAAAATTTGACTCCAAATTATTTCTTTTTATTCTAATGGGTTGTATACAAAACAGACCAACCATATTTAATATTACAAGGCTATATTTGCAGGTAACACCGTATACTATGTCAGACAAATGCTTGCCTGAAAATAATTTACCTGACCTTGGTGATTGTGTCCGTAGATTAGCCCTGCGGTTAAGATTATCTGAGGTCAGATTGCGGTTAAAGACAAAAATTGGACAGTTTGGACTTGTAATATAACACATAATGTGTTGTTTTAAAAATATTTGTTTGTGTCTACATTAAACTTAGAGATGTCATGATAATTAAAGTGATATAGTTCTTCACTTATGATGGAAATTAATTTGCATGACCTGAACAAGGTGAATTTATTACAAATTTGATTTAGATGTTAAACTCTAGAATTTCTCGTTGTTCATCTGTTCTTTGTAGTCCAGAGTCTATCTGATATGTTGCTGTTCAGAGTTCACCAATGATGAATTAATTGAATGATTTGGATGTTCATATACTTTCTAAAAATCTCATTGTTCAGACATGATCTAATTTGCTCAAAGTTCAGATATAATTCTCAGTTGAGGTCAAATCGGTGTCCTGTCTAAATCCTTTGTTAACTGTTAAGAACCTCTCTGATGATCTAATTTATCAGAACCTCATCTTACTTTTCAGATGATGAATCTTCTGTTTAGATCGTCTCTGATGTTCTGTTTTGTACTATACACATTATACTTACAACCAGGTGGCATTCCTTCTGCCTGGACCCTTTCTCTTATGTTAATGTTTTAACTGTGTTGTTAATTATCGAATTATCAAAGATTATAGCTAGTTCATACACACTATAATGACTTGTTTGACTTTGGAAAGTACTTGTGGTTATTGTGGTTCTCTTTGAAGAAAACGAAACATTTCCCTCTTCGCATTATCCACAATATTTTATAACACAAAGATATTTAAATCTAAACATGGTCACATCTTTGAGTGTCAAAGTAACTCTTTTCGTCATCCAATATTTCTTACTATTAGCAAAAATAAAAATTTATCACGACGAATTAATCAAATCAAATTAATACAATTAGTTTACACTTATTGTTAATTAAAAAGTGACGTTTTACTTCAAGGGGAGTAACTCAATGCAATTGACCATTGTGGCTACTTATGGATTTTGTTTAAAACCAATTTTAGATTTTGTAGTAGACAGGATCAGATCGTTGAAATGTAGGTGGAGAAGACGTCAGTCAATAATAAGTCTTCGGAGTACTGTTATTCGAAGCATTGCACGGAGGTACAATGAGTATCTCTCAATATAAGAGAACACCCTAGGCGATCTCCTCTTCTTTTAAACGTTTCGCAATCTTCCCTCCCGCCCATCTACCTATCAATACTTTAGTAACCCCTGAAGTTCCATTCATAACATACACACCGTTTATTCTCTACATACTCACTTCTATACCTACAACCATCTACTTATTAACCCTATTTCCTTTGAATCCTGTTTTTAAACTCTACTATCCTCTTATCACCCTTTCTAAATACATCTCTTGGTTCTCCCTTTTTAATCTTCATTAATAATTTAACACCCGTCTTCTATACTTCATTAATGTTCGTATATCATCTCATACATCTATACTTTCATTTCATTTGCGCTGGCTTTTCTTCCTCATATTTATTAGTCTAGATTAGCAAAAATTCACATTTATCACCATAAATGTAATATTAGGATTGACCTGTTTTAACTTAAATAGCTAGATAGCTTTATATACTATTTTACAATGATTATTGAATAAATCTTCATTATTGAGACCGACATGGAGTCTACAGCAGCAACATTTTGAATTGTTACCGATTTTATTTTGCAATGCGAATCACAATTTTATTGACCCGCCAAAACTGGAATTTTGTATTATGAATTGCTAATCACATATGTGTCAACCTAAATTGAATCCTGCTCCCTGTGTGATTTTGTTGCTTTTGTAAATAGCTATAAGAACCTATCTTATTACAGATGGAGAATAGGAATGCGTCCTTATCGAGCTTCTACGGCGATGGAAAATTAACTCAGAGCTTGTTAAGGTCGTGAAGGAAGCGTCAGATATCAAGAAAGTCATTAGACAAGCCTCGTAACATCTCTATAAACGAAATAAAAATGAAATGCATTTATCAGATATATGGTTTCATATTATATCGGATGTTGATAACAACTATTGTAGAATTTGTATTTTTAAGGGACTTTTTCTGGCGTTTTCTTCAGGTTTAATTATTGAATTAATAAATGCACCAACGGGAATACAACTTTAAAGTACATATGAAAGAAAAAAATCTATACATTTCTTTTTATATGAACTAGATAAACTGTTTGTGGTTGCGCATATTTTAGTATTGAATCGTCTTTCTTTAAATTGATCTACTTAATATTTTGAATTACAATTGATTCGAAACTTCACTTTGAGAAATGATCATAGCTGTTATTTTCACTCACATACTGAAAATCATTATCTATAATGCTGAAAGACTTGTGGCAGCAGTAAGATATATGTTTCAGATGTTATCCAGTCAGAGTCGAGAAAACAGAAATCCTAAAGTCAGCTTTTAGATGTAATACTTTCAACGTTTTAATTTGGATCATAAGATAAAGCAAAATAATTCTAGTTTACTGAAAGGGATACTATCATATTATGTTTTACTCATTACAAAATGAAAATTTTACTTTCTGTTTGTCGCTAATATACTATTCTCAACGCTTATATTACTTCATCTTTATATTAAAGAGATTTTCACGAGGTTGTCAAAAAAAAAATTGTGTGTCAGAGACACTGATAGAAATTTTCAACGGATTGTGGTTTCTGCAAATCAAATTGCCAATCTAGAACATTGAATGATTCCAATCTAGAATAATGAATGATTCCAGTCTAGAACATTGAGTGATAACAAACTAGAATATTGAATGATTCCAGTCTAGAACATAGAGTGATATAACAATCTAGAACTTTGAGTAATAACAATCTAGAATAATGAGTGATAACAATCTAGAATAATGAATGATAACAATCTAGAACATTGAGTAATAACAATCTAGAATAATGAATGATAACAATCTAGAACATTGAGTAATAACAATCTAGAATAATGAGTGATAACAATCTAAAATATTGAATGATAACAATCTAGAACATTGAGTAATAACAATCTAGAATAATGAATGATTCCAGTCTAGAACATTGAGTAATAACAATCTAGAATAATGAATGATAACAATCTAGAACATTGAGTAATAACAATCTAGAATAATGAGTGATAACAATCTAAAATATTGAATGATAACAATCTAGAATAATGAGTGATAACAATCTAGAATAATGAATGATTCCAGTCTAGAACATTGAGTGATAACAATCTAGAATATTGAATGATTCCAGTCTAGAATATTGAGTGATAACAATCTAGAATAATGAATGATAACAATCTAGAACATGGAGTAATAACAATCTAGAATCATGAATATTAGCTGTCTAAAAGTGATAAGTAAATTTATGCTAACGTATGAAAAGTTTAGAAACATGATTACAACCCCTTTAAGTGTAAGATCTTGTGTCTCTGTTCATTTTCTATTTTATTGACCCATTTTATATGAAATGCATCGTTTCATTCCCTTGAATAAAAGCTAAATCATTCAAGTGTGGTCGACCCTTAATACACGGGCCTTAACGGGCTTATCACGTGATTATTTCGGTTTTATATAACTGATTCTTTACTCTATTCCACTATGAAACTTCATCTTACATTGTGTACATGGTTGTATCGTTATGTATACTGTATACTTTTGAAAGATTTCCTGTACAAATTTTGAGACATTGCTTTATTTCTGTTGGAATTTAAACATATTTGCTGTTTATAAACCGCGAAAATGGCAGATAATTATAAGGAATTCGACAAGGCATCCATCATATCGACAACTACTGGTGTAAGCATCAGAGGTCATACCTTTAAAAAGCGAGAAATTCTGTTAGGAATTGGACTAATAGTAGCTCTAGTAGTTATCGTCATTATGGCAGCAGTTTTGGGTTCAAGGAGTAGTGGTTCGTCTGGTACAGCACCAAAAGCTGCATTGCAAACTGGTGATAATAGAACATTTGGCACAACAACTGTCGGGACAACAACAACGACTGTAGGAACAACAACAATTGCTACAACTCCTGAACCTGAAATCTGTGAAACTCCTAACTGTTTGCTAGGTGCTGCGTACATACAAGCCAGTTTAAACAGAAGCTTCAATCCATGTACAGATTTCTATAAGTATGCCTGCGGATCATATCCATTCAACCACCCTCGTCATCCGGACTCTTATGTTAGGAATGTACTTGGTGATATTTATAACCGAAACCAAGCAAAACTCATATCAACTTTGAGTACCTCAATCCAGCGTCTTGGTTCCACATCTGCTGAACAGAAGGCGAAACAGTTTTACCTTTCCTGTTTGGATGATTATGGTAGAACGAAGGTAGGAGGGAATCCATTTCTAGAGAAAGTTATCAGTAAAGTTGGTGGTTGGTATGTTATAGACACCATGGAAGATTCCTATGATTATAAAAATATGTTAAAGAAGGTGCACGTTGACTTTTGGACTGATGTTTTGTTTACTTTTAATGTCAAAACTGATTGGCTCAACTGGCTGAAAACATCTATTCAGGTAAGGATAAATTTCTATGGTTTACCAACAGACAGATGAACTTTCTGTACGGGTATGCTTTTATAATTCCATCCCCATCATGCCCTTTATTGATAGTAGTAATTACTAACTTTAAATCTAAATTTTGAAAATTCTATGAGTGTTACGAAATATACGAGAGTCTTAAGAAAAGACGAATCGTCATTTTCAAACGCGGATAAATCTGGGCATACGTGGATATGAAGGCTTGAATTTCGACGTTGAGCTGTGAACACTATTACTGATTAGGCTTAAACGGATGGCAAATCTGTCCCTATAAATGACTGTCTGGAAACAGGATATCCCATATTATAGTCAGACAAGAGAAACTGATGTAGGTCACTCGTATAGTGTCTGAACAATACAGTTTTCTTTCCACTGAAAAATTTTATCAAATTACAGGTCTCCTTTCTTGAGCAGATTTTGAATGGAAAAAGTAAATATTGTACACCATCATGTATCAAACTAAACAATAGTAAAGGTTTTGAAGTGGGCAATATTTGTTTACCTATATATTCATATTTATTTACCCATATATTCAATTTAAGAAAAATCTAGATTAAGAATGTTTTGTTACTTATAAGAAATTGATATTGTAAATATGAACTATGAAACCTATATGAAAAGATAGCTACATTATACTATGTTGCATATAAGGGATGTAGTCATCTAAATTTCACTTTTCCGACTAATGCAATTAAATTTGGTCAACACGTATCAGTGTCTTTGCAAGATATAAACTCGACATCGAGTTCGCTTGTAATTAAAGCTATTCATGCTTCAGTATGGCGACTTATAGTAATAAATATGGCGATCTAATGGCGAACAGTCAGTCTTATTTATTTTTTCTTGATAATAAATTTTAGCCAACAATGTGAATAATTTCTGATAGGGCTTATGATAGTAAAGACCATGTAAACCTAAACTGGGGTCACTCCCACCGGTTAAAGCATTTTGATAGATGGATTTTCTTTCTGAGTGATATTTTGAGTAGCGGTAATATGTTCTATCGACTGAAAAAGCAATAGCCGAACAGCCAACCGATGCTTTCTCTTCACTAAAACCATGCAAATTAGCATTTACCGTACGGCAGAAATAGTTTCTGTCATTTTTGTAACACATCTGGCCTAGTCACGGAATTTTCAGGAAGTGAAGTTTTGTGGAGGTGGTCAAAAAGGTTTCCCACCCGTGTTTCTCTTGTTTGTGTTTCGGGTATAATCAAGTTTGCAATCTTCCAAAGAAGGACTAGAAACATATTTGAACAAATGGACATCACCGAATAGAAAATTGTCAAGTTATGTCTTGTCCCATCTTCACAATGTCAACCTCTTGCGAACTTCGTCTTATACTTTGACTTCAATATCCAGCTTTCTTGTGTCTCAGAAGTTTGTAAATGCAGCGATTTGCTTGGATTGTATGCTAGCGAATACAGCCAATCGGAGCATCGAAAGACTGTAAATACTAAGCCATAATGGTTACAGCCTTTCTGTCCAGGGCCCTGATTGGCTGTATTCGCTGGTGTACAATAAAATTACATGCTGCATAACGTGATACAAGAATGGTGGCTATTGCAGGCAAGGCATAAGGAAAAGTTCGTATTTGCTGGACATTGTGAAGACTATGTTCAACCATTTCTTACCTAGTATGTCTGTCCGATAAAGTATGAATGTCAATCCGATATAGTAGTAATGTCGGTCCGATAGAGTATGAATGCGGTCCAATAAAGTATGAATGTCAATCCGATATAGTATGAAAGTCATTCCGATATAGTATTAATGTCAATCCGATATAGAATGAATGCGGTCCAATAAAGTATGAATGTCAATCCGATATATAGTATGAAAGTCATTCCGATATAGTAGTAGTGTCGGTCCGATAGATTATGAATGTCGGTCCGATAGAGTATGAATGTCAGTCCGATGTAGTATGAATGTCGGTCCGTTATAGTATTAAATTCGATCTGATTAGAAAGAGTACGAACATATAACATGTAAAGTTTATTAGCCAATAAAGGCAGATTTGTAGCAATATTTAATGGGGTTTTTTTCATGCTCAAGTGCGCCCCTTTTAATTGACGACATGTTGGTAGCGAGAGTCTCTGCTTGTGCAAATAACTATCTTGTATGCCCCAATTCGGTTAAACTAGTTTACGGTCCGTTATAAAACTGATTATAAAAGCGTACTTATATTATAATTGTGCCAGTACCTAACTGGTACAAAATGAATATTTTGTTACGGTCGGTTGGTTGTTGATAAATATCAACATCTCTATAATCTCTTTTTAACCAACTGAAATATATTTTATTACGCCTTTTTTAATTGCCTATTTGTACTAAGCGTAATAAAGCTCTATAGCTAAGGTGAAAACGTCAAGTCAAATTCAAGTTAAGATGAAACACATTAAGCGTTTTAATCACACAACAGTAATGTGCTCAGATTCATAACACGGATTCATAAAAACTATACGAACTCGAAGGATAGTTGTGTGATAAATACAATCTTATGTTATGTTATGTGCTTATGTTATATAAAATTTATGAAAACTTATTTTATATATGGAAACTCATTTTATAAATTTCATTTGATATAAGCACTCGTTTAGGATCCTCTATTTAAGCACTTCACAATTGCCTGGTTTGTTACATGTGTAGACATATAAAAAGCATATCTTACCAGGCAAAGTAACATTCTTCGCTGGCAGATTTGTTTAAATTTAATCTGGTAAAAGGGTGTTACAATGACAGACGATTTGACATTGCCATTTATGGTTGATCACTTGGCTGATACTGGGTTACTGTTTATGCAATAGCATTCAATCCTAAACCTATTTATGACAAAAAAAAATTATTGTATGTCATTATATATGTTAAAAATAGAATTTAGTGAATTGGAACTAAATAAAAGAGGGTTCAGGATAATCTAAAATAACTTTTTAGTTATATACACATGTTATCATGGTACGCAGTGCAGTATAAAATATAGGTTTAGTAAATTCGAGCTTAAATGTTTTTTTTTTTATACTGCAAAAACGCCCCTTTTACCATAAATTTGCAGTGAGCCGTTATAGCTGTTCAAGATGACTATCTCTACACTTGTAATGGGTAAAGCGTACGAAACTGGTTGTGTGGTATTATTTTGCATTGTATCGAGAGTCCCAAAGCTCAGTGGTACATTTCTGCAATTAGCCAAGATAAGGCGTAGACCTTGGAATTGGATAATTCCCACAAAACTGGATGATGAAAAATAGATACCCACGTCTTATTATTAGAAAAGTAGACCAAAAATGACAATCGTAATGTTATTAAATAAGTGTACAAATTGATTAGATCATGTCTGGCGATGTTGGTAGAATGTCATCCAATGAAAAGAGAACATTTTAACAATTAATTGAGATTAAAGAAATAAAATTTTAGTATGCAACATTTAGAGTTACAAAAACAAATAGGTACTGTTATGTAGGTCTACATTTTAATTAGAGTTCATCTGAATAATATTGTAGGTCTACCTGTGGTAGGTTATTTATACAGTCAGGTTTGTTAAGTAATTTGATCATTTCAAATGCAAATGGTTATTTTCTTCTCTGCAGAAGAATTGTAATGTAAATTTCAAAAGGTCAATATTTGTTGGGCGTATCAACAACAAGGGCAACTGGGCACCACTTTGATCTTAAATTGGCTTTACATTTGTCTATCATGCTGATATCGCAAACTAGGTATAGTCGTTGGTAGTCATAGTGCCTGTGGGTTAATTGGTTTGGAGGAAGCAGTGCTGTTGGTTTGGTAGTTACCTTAAGTCAGAATAGTCATCCTTTATACTAGTTCTATGTACTATGTACTATGTCCACAATAAAATTTCCTTGGATGTAAATTTCAATTATCCAATCGTCGTAACGATTTCACCCACTAAAATATATTTCAAGAGATTAACACTGATAATCTGTATGTCTGATAGAGAGTTAAAAAAAGGAGATTTTCCGATGCAATGTATAGTACGATGGAGTACTTTATATTACAGTGTTTTTGGAATTGGTATGTCTAATGGGTATGCCCAATGCAGCATTACAGTATCTCGAAGTATTCGCTACAGCCTTGTTCAAAACCATAGTTGATGTACCAACCACCATAGAGTGTACTCTGAATAATATGAATTAAATGACATTTCTTTATTTACTATTTTTCGCGGATTTCGTTAGACCGAAACATCTGCCTATATTCCAGCCTTTATTTTGTTGTCGACAGGTGTTGGAATACCTACCAGAGGATGAAATAGAGGTAGATGTTTCGGACTAGGATTTCTATAATCGTTCTTTTTTACATAAAGTGTAAAAATAGTGATGTTTTAAAAGAGGTGTCGAAAATTATAAACACAACTCGAATAAAAAATTATATAACGCTCTACTTATTTTCTAAAGAGTATGTCAGTTTGTTTAAAGAATTTGCCTATAATACAAAGTGCTAGATGACCGGATTCTGTTAAAAATTATACCCCACCAGCACAACATGCTATTGACTCGTTGAAAAACCTATACAAATGGTATTTTGCATACGGGATAGGGAAAATATACTCTTAATCAGCTCTTTGACATTTTGATAATACGAATATACGATACGATCATTATTTCACATAGTGGGGCTAGGGCAAGATAGGAGGATTTGCAATATATATAAAAATGAATGTAAAGTACAAAACTATCCTAATTTTGCACCATTACTGAAGTATTTAGTTTTTTTACAGATTGATTTATCTGGAATGGGTTTGCCATGGACATATTTTGTCAAAAAAGAGTTTTCGGAGGTGAGTATAGTCCTATCTTTTACGATTAAACGAACTCAACTATCGTTATGAGTCAATGAAATGAAATGAACGGAGTTTTACGTCCAACCCTGTGTACTTAATTAGGTTAAAGACAGACAAGGCCATGTAGTGTGCAATGAGGGACAGTGGTATTAGCTTACTCTTTTTCGATTGCCAATTATCGTGCGCAGTCTGTAGCACACGGGGCCTCGGTTTTATGTTCAAGCCGAACGACTGGACGCTATTTCAGTGTCAGCCCGGGCGTTATGCGCAGTGAACTATATACGCTATTGCATTCCTGTAATGCACCCGTTTTCACATGGTTGAATAGACCAGGAAAGAACACCAAAAGTGTACCAGAGGTTAATGTTTTTTGTTAGCCATTTAACGACGTGTAAACACATAATATTTAAAGAGACAATAAGCTTTAGTGGAAATGCCTGCGGTGAAATGTATTTGATTGTTGTAGGGTTATTGTTTTGATTTGTTGATTCAACAAAACCCTTTTGTAATCTTTCAAATCGCCATTAACATGAATAGGTTTCAAATATTTCCTTGTATTGATATTCACAGCATGATCGTACAGTATTGAAATGATTAACAATACATACCTGCATTAAGATCAAATATACGTTCACACTTAATAAACCTGATGCCGTTCACTGGAGCTCAATTGCGTTCACTGATGCATTGTAAACTATGGTACTCTATGATGTCTCCACATTTTCTAAGTATCTAGCTAGTCATAAATCAATATTGTTCATCAAAATACCTGCACCGAAAACAAAAACATCCTTAAGAGTCTTTGGACAACCCGGGGATGATTAGAGGCCGTGGACTGAAGTGGGTTGGGCCCTTCCCTCGGAATTTTTCATGCTCTCCTACATTCTGAGGCCTTGGTAATGCCCCATTTGTCAACCATTTTATATCGTGTGTTAACTTTTTAGTTACTAGGTACTTTCTTTTGTATATTTTGTTTTTTAATTTTTAGTTGTGGACCCGTGGACTGAACCACTGTGAAACCCTCTAGAAAATACATGTCTTGGAAAAGATCTCAAACATTTTACCGAGATTGTAATTCAGAAAATACGTAGGTTACAAGCCACCGCACATTAAGTCCTAGCCAACTTTTCTTGAAGAATAGATGATTTTCAAGCGAAGAATGTCAGAATGTCACTTCATGCAATTACGTATTTATTTTCAGAAATTAACAGTTTACAAACAATTTATCCGGGATGTTGGTACACAGCTTGTTGTAGATGCAAAAACTAATTTTAGTGATGCTAAAATTAAGGAGAGGGTCGACATGTTTGTTGATGATGCGTTCAAAGTAGAACAACAGCTTGCTTTGGTAAGTCTCATCTGTTGCAATACGAGCGCATCTTCTGAAATATTTGCACACCTTTTGAAAAGGCAAGAACTTTTCTAGAAATACAAGTCTTGATAGCGTCTTTTCATGTGTGATCGCAACTTGATATACCAGCTCATCTCTTGAAATTCCAATGCATCTCTTGAAAAGATTGCGCGTCTCTTAAAAAGATTAGGTATCTCTTGAAATACCAGCGCATCATTTGAAATACCAGCTCATCTCTAGAAAAACTTCCGTTTCACTTACGCATTGAAATACCAGTGCATCATTCAAAATACCAGCGCATCATTTTAAAAATCACCGCATCTCTTGAAATACCAGCACAACTTGATGTGTGATCGCGTCTCTTGATAAACCAAAGACAACTTGAAACACAGGTCAATTCTAGTATAGTACATATTACGATGATGAAACAAAGAATTGATTTGAGGCGTTCTTTGATGAAATATCATTTTGTCTACCAGTCGTACAATTTTGCGTGAAACGTTTGAAAATATCGATCTCTTACAAGCATTTTAGCTTCTTACCTTTCAAGAGCTTTGGATTTTCGATTAAAACGTCAGTTACAATCTACTTTTGATGCAGATAAGTCTGACTGACCATTTGTAATCAATGTCTTTTACATTTATATACAGTTAACCAACAGCACAAATTCTACACTAAACCCACACAATGATGAAGAAAGAGTGTCATTAAATGAATTGAATACACAGACTGGAGGTGGATCAGCAGTAAGTTTCATGCTCATTTACAAATACAAGAAGAGTAACCAGGGTTCAATTTAGATTGAAAAATAGCAATTTATCACATTAAACCTCTGTTCTGGCTAATCAAATCAATTTTCATTCGCTTTTCCAAAGAATTCGGTAGCAATTCCAACTGTAAAGTTTTGCAGACATCAGATCAATCTTCTCGTTAGTTCCCCGTGTCTTCAGGTTGTAGATATCATCAAGAGTTGCCGCGAATTACGTGTATTTTAGCTTGGCAGACAATTCTCATGAAAAACAGAACTTGATGGGATTCGCAGATGGTTATGATAAAATTTGGCTAATCATAAAAATATTGGCTATTTTGACTCACAAACTGCAATGCGGTACCTCTAAATTTAAACCGTGCCAGAAATGCACATATTTTATATAATATATTTTGAAGTTTTTGTCCATGGAAAGTTTTTTTGTATTCAGGTCTTACAACTGAGTAGTCCACTATCTGAACTAACTACTTTGAAAATATCTCCCAATCAGAAGAAATTTATGATTAAAAATTTGGATAGTCGCGCGTCATATTAAAATAACCTGGAAAAATCACTTCAGAATTACTCATTAAGTATATTAATAAATCGCTCATTAAGATGAAAATATTAATATTATCTATTTCCTTGGATAAATCCACCTTAAAGTTTAAATTATGACCCATTCTATTTTTAAAAAAAAGAATCCTTCACAAATTGAAAATAGCAGAAATTTAGAAATTGTTTACAAAGGTGACAGACAAATGTCTATCATGCAATGATATTGAAGTGATTCAAAGGAGGTTTTTATTTTTGTCTGTTCTAAATCTCTATGCATGATTCCGGGTGGGTTTCCAGTTTACACATACGACTAGAAATTCCTTTTAAATCACTTATTTGTTAGAAATATTAAAAAACAACCTTAAACATGTTGTTACTCAGAGTTTCACGCTGCACCATCTTCAAACAACTGACCTATTCCGACTGTTTCTCTTTTAATATTTCTATATCGCCCTGCAATTCATAAATAGAGCACTATTTTAACAATGAAAATCTATGTTATTGTCACTTATTTATTATGTTAATTTTCGTTATAGATAGATTATATTGACCTGTTTACATATATGTTTGACGAGGCTAATGTTGATGGTAATACTAAAGTTGTTATTATTGAAAAACAGTATATTATAGGATTAACTAAACTCGTCAACAACTTAGGTGTTGACAAACAAAGGTTTGTTAATGATTTTTTTGTACGCGTTGACAAACTCAATCTAAGAGTGGTAACGAGCGAGTCTACATCGCGTCTGCTTCACACAGTCCAATGGAATGTTACAGAAGCCTTGAGCAGAATGGCTACGATTATCGACAAACCCTATCTGTGAATGGTATCGATTATGCAAAAGTAATCGCTTGATCGTATATTTAAGTTCGGAGATAACCAATTCTCGAGCTGCAATATTGTTGACCGTCCACTTACAATCAGGGTTCATGTGGACTGATATTGTTTGCTTTTGACGTGCCATTTCATGCTGGCGTATATCTGCTGACTGTTACACTAGGTCTATTTTTTATTCAGAATAATGAACAACTATTTTACATGGAGATTGGCGCAGAAATATGTACAAGAGTTATCCTGGGACTATATTCACGCTAACAGAAACTTTTATGTAAATGCCCACAACAACAACCAGTTTCTGGGATCACAGCGATATTGTTTGCAGTTAGTAACCACTCAGATGAGTCAAGCTGTCAGCTCATTGTTTGTCAGGGATCATTTTGTGGACAAAAACAAACAGAAGGTAGGGCAAAACTTCGGTAACCAAACCATACACAAATGATATCTGTTCTATCAATGAAATTCAACAATGCTTACCACAAATCCTTGTCCAAACTTATTGGTCTTTGAAAAATTTGTTGTATCAATTCCGTCTGGATTGACTGGAATAATGAGAACACATAACCAAATCTTAATTTTGACCGCCGAACAAAATCAAGTCCATTTGACCCTGTATCCTTCAAAAACATCACAGGATTCCACACGCATTTACCGACTGAGCTACACCCCCTCATATATTGGAGCTATCGACAATTCAATATGACACTTTTTTTCTTCAAGATTATGAACATTTTTGGATCCTTAACATTCAAATGAAGTAAACGACTAATTACATACCTTCATATGCGTGTTTCTGATTGTCTTCTCCGATGATTTTTTGGGGTGGGGTAGGGTTAGGGGTAGGGGTCGGGGGGATCCAGTCCCTTTATAGATTTAGTTTCCCACATATAAATTGCATACTCAATCTGTATTTTTCAGGCTATTGAAATTATTGATTTTCTTAAAGAATCTATGATTGATAGACTTATGGACAATACTTGGATGGAACAAAGTACAAAAGACAAAGCAAAGCAAAAGGTTCGTTTACAATACTTATTTATTAATACTTAAATCATCTTCACAGCGTCAAACTATTACGAACTGCGTCTCATACCTTGACTGCAATAGCCACCTTTCGTTCATCATGGACTTTTGTTATTGGAATGTTTTTACACTTTTACTGGAATGTTATTATAATTTTACTCGAATGTAATTATATTTTTAGTTAGAGAACTCACAATATAAATTAGGATATCCAGATTTTATTATGGATGACTCGAAACTCGATAATTATTATGAATCGGTAGGTATCTTTATATGTTTTCTAATTGATGATTTCGATGATATGATATGATATGATACGATACGATGATATTTAACCTGATTGTGGGATCTGACGTAGTTTATTCCAGCTACTTTTTTAGTAAAGAAGTGGCTCAGCATGCGATCTTCTAATTGGACATATATAGAAGTCGGTTGACACAGAGAGAGTATCTGTTAAATGGGATTGGATTGCCGTGCAACATGGCACAATACATGGCATGACACGCGTTTTAGCCTTAATAGGGGAAAGAAGAACTTTAAGAACAAATATAATTTCAGTTAACCATCACACCAGGTGACCACTTCAGTAACACCCTAGCCTTCAATATCTTCTGGAAAGAAAGATTGAATAAAAATCTCAAGATGGGTACAGATAGGAATGTATGGAACTATCAAACATACGCTGTTGCTGCCGAATATTACAATCCTTGGAGTGAACTGATAGTACCAGCTGGTATGCTGCAGTTCCCGATCTATGATTATACATTACCACATTATATAAACTTTGGATCTATTGGTACATTGATAGGACATCAATTGGTACATGCCATTGATGAATTTGGTAAGCTTTTTAATATAATAGTATCTTGGAGTGCTTTGAATGATATAAATAAAAAGTCCTTAATATCTACTTAACTAGAGGTATCTCTCACCAGCAACCCAGAATGGGAACCAAGAATCTGTAGGATGATTATCACCTATTAACAATGCATGAAATAATTCTGTCAATTCTGACACGACAATATCAATCTTCTTCAAATATTCTTTCAATAAGAAAGATATGACGTAAAGCTCCAGTGATGCAGGTCATAGGGACTGACATGGAAAAATATTCTAACAAAACTGATCCCGCGACAGTTGAGTTGAGTTTAGTAGGTTAATGCCGCTGTTCTGGCAAAATTTGCCTCCTGTATGGCGTTTCCCGTCTTCATTAGCCCATAAGGTGCAGACAGTCGGAAGTAAAACTCCATTCATTCATTTCATTTTGTCAATCATTCAATCCCTTTGTCAATCATTTCATTCCATTTTGTCATTAACACCATTTCATTTTGTCATTAATTTCATTTCAGTTTGCCATTCATTTCATTTCATTTTGTCATTCATTTTATTTCATTTTGTCAATCATTTCATTCCATTTTGTCATGAACACCAATTCATTTTGTCATTCATTTCATTCCATTTTGTCATTAACACCATTTAATTTTGTCATTCATTTCATTTCAGTGTGCCATTCATTTCATTTCATTTCATTTTTCATTCATTTCATTTCATTTTGTCATTCATTTCATTTCATTTTGTCATTCATTGATAAACAATTGATATAAATCTATTTATACTAATTTATAGGTAAATTGTATAAATTAGACGGATCATGGTATGGTACATGGTGGACCAACACAACCGCTGATGAATTTGTCAAACGTAAGCAATGTGTCGTCGATGCTATTGGATCTGACAGAACACAAGGACCATATGATTTTATGGGGACACCACAGAGAGTAAGTTTGATAAGAATAGAGATATAGTTATACAAATTTTCTTTACCTAAATTTCAGTTTGAAACCTTGAGGCAACGACGGTATAAACTAAACTTCCAATGTGGCTCAACTAAAAGCGTGGGGTTCGTGGACTGAAGAGGGTTGGGACCCCTCCCCCGGGCAAAGGCTCTCCTGCATTATAGAACCTTGGTGGGGGGGGGGGCTTCCTTAAGGGTTGGGAGCCCGTGGACTTACGTCAACCAGTTCCTATGGTAGTTTTAAACAACAAAACACAATTAATATGATGATTTGATCAAAATTCAATACGACCTTGGGCAGCAACAATTTAGTTACAATGGAAATCTAACAATTAACTTGCCATATTTTCAGGTAAACTTAAATGCTCAGAGATATTCGCCAGAAGCCATGGCAGAGGCTGCAGGGTTGAAGGTAGCTTTTAATGTAAGTTAAATATCATGTTAATCAAAAACACAACAGTGTGTTCGGACAGATTCCTCTTTTTGTTCACATCGGAGCTTGCAACCGAATGGGATAACATTTACACCCCCCAAAGCATACTGCATGTATAATATATTACAATCGGAAGTTGTTGTCTTTGTCGAGAAAGGCACAAATTATTTGAAACCGGAAGTTTCTATCTCTGTAACCATCCTACATTGTTACCAAGACGTTTCAAATCAATCCTTGAAAATGCCGACTGTTACCCTTACAGTAAACTCTTTCACTTTATTAAAGGAATACAATCTCTTAAGATGAAGATAAAATTGAAAGTCTCAAACTTAACAAGTGTATATATTCATCAGTTGGACTTACCAGGTGCCATACAAGACAATATTATATCCTCCAAACTGAATAATTATTGAAACACACTTTTCAAATTTATGTTGTATATTAATGATTCAAGACTGACTCTTTTAACATTTAAATTTTTTTGTCATCTAAAGAGGTAGTTTATCTTTAATATCAACAGGAAGTTGTTCAACTCATGTATAGCAACAAAAGTTATGTCGATAAAGATCAGACATTTGAATACATATTTTCCAAATTTAAAATGGCACTTAGGGAACCATTCGTAACACTAACAGACACACCTTATAGATAGACTGTTATTTGTTACCTTGTATTTTTGTTCCAGGCCTACAAAAAATGGAGTGATAAAAATGGAATGGAAAAGAAAATGGCAGGATCAAAAAGTACTAATGACCAATTGTTCTTTATATCATATGCCCAGGTAAATATATCATATCTAACGTAATAGGAGTATTTTTGCTAAGTGATTTATAATTACCAGGTGATAGGACTACATAACAGTCGCTTACGTTAAACAAATTGTAAAATCTTATGACTTCTTGCCAGAAAGTACACAGGAAACTTTCTGTAACAATATGCGAAATAAAATACCTTTATATTTTGAATTATAAATACTATTGAATTACTTATTTTAGGCCAAATGTTTTAACAGAGAACCTCAATATGCGTTGAGTAAGGCTTACGGTGGAACAGTTTTTGAAGATACACGGTAGGTAACCGTACCAAGTTTACTCATTTCTATCATCATTTAATGCGACGTTTTATCTATATATTTATGTGTGTATTAAGCAATATGTCTGGTGTACTTGTATTATACAGCCACTCAGGACCCGAGGTACAAAATCAGAAACATACTGACTCAATAGGGAGACAACTGTCTGTCTAGGTTGAATTCAATATGCAACAACATACATCATAGACACAAGTGTCTCATGAAGTGTTTGAGAGGGTTTTGCCAAAACAATTATCGAAAAATTGAATTTAATTGAATTGGTGCAATCTGACACAAAACGTATAAAAATTATATTTTTGACTTTGTTACAAATAAAGTGGGGGTACAATTGTGGGTATATAAACTATTTTTCTGTTTCTTTTGTTTTGGAGTTTTTCTCAGTTGACGTTACCTTGTATCAATTGTCTATATCAATTAAAACGAATGGAGTTTTACGCTCTATTTTTCTTTTTATATATGTTATTGTACTCTTTCAGAATAAATTTAGCTGTAAGTCAGTCTAAAGAATTCCAGGAAACATTCCAATGTAAAGCCGGTGACGATATGGTGGCGGAGAAAAGATGTAATGTATATTGATGATGGATGAAACGTGATGTGAAATCCTTTTTATCATGCAATATCAACGGACAGAAAAATTTCAGATCATCTCAGCATAGGAAATTTAAGAATTTATTAGAAACTGCTTCTATTTATTGTTAACACTTTATAAGCAATATTATGATACATCTAAAACTTATTCATCGTGTAATTGGGCTTCATAGAACTATATATACCTTATTGAACACACTGATATACTGAAAGGGGGGGACCCGGGGCTAGTTTCTCGGTAATCTTACACACTTTTAAAGGATTATTACCTCTTAGAATGGACATCAAATTTAGAACTTAGGTCAATTTGAAGTGTATATATTCATCTGTTGGATGACTAAAGAATAGACTCTACACGACAATATATCCATTAAACTAAGTTATTATTGAATCACGCTTCTAAGCTTATTTCAAAACAACTAATGAATTATTACTTAGTTTTATGGATTTATTGGATTGTATAGCGATTTCACACCAGGTAAAACAAATTTAGGCCAGGTTTAAAAATTTCAATTTTTTTGTCATTCAAATAATAGGTAATATACCTTTAAATCCATTCTTGACTAAAAGTATATTTCGCAGTAGTTGTATAGAGCAGTATTGTTCAGTTCCTACTTGAGTTCGTACGACAGTATAATAACTTTCAGTATTTTATCATTTTATTTCATTTTTAAAATCACAAACCGTTTTTTTTATTATTATTATTATTTCATCTTGCTATAAGCAATGTGCATTTTATCTCAAAACAATTACTATTAACATTTGCCGTATTTCTCTTGTAAATGGCTTTTACATTTAAAACAAACAGTTGCTTTCATTATTTTTTTTAGAAAAGAGAACATTGCTTTCATTAGAATGATCATATACATGTAGTTGATTTGTAGTGGTGCAGTGTATTTTCTTATCCTAATCCTAATTGAATTTGCAAATATCCGATTGGTTAATATTTTTATGGTTATGATATCAGCCAATCAGAGGTCTCATTCTTTAAACTTGCGTTAGATTAAATTAAGATTTCAACAACGAATTTTAAGTTCAACGCTAGTGATTGACCAATGAGATGAAGAAAAATGTACACAGGCTTTTAAAAATATTTATATGTATCGGAGACACTGATAGCATCAATTTGATTGAGCCATTCCAATTTTCAATCAGACATCTCTGGTTCCTGCAAATCTACAAAAAGTAAGCGTTTTATGATTTAACTAATTGCAAAATATAACATATATCTCTTCGAGATTAGTGACGTCATCAAACTCAAACTTTATTTGAGTTGTAGGACAACAGAAATTGGAATGAGGAATTGATGCTATCTCCGATAAACATAATTTTTTTTAGAAAACCCCTTTACAATCCTTTTTTCTTGTAAATACAACAGCTCTATGTATTAGTATTTGTATTTGTTTTTGTATTTTGAACGTTGTTATGACAAATGGTTAGCGATGTGGAAGCCCTGTTAAAAGTCTTCCAAACTAAGATGTGTTGGTAGTGGTTTACTTAAAATGGTCGTAGATTTACAATACACACATTGATAATTGATATGATTGAAGATTTTTTTTTAACATTCCAATTTTTATTTGAAAAAGAAAAATGATTGACAAAAAATATGAAAAAGTGAAAAATTTATGACAATATAGGAAAAAACAAAAAAATTATCAAAACATAAGATTAAAATATGTTACATTACATTTGCAAAAGCCTTCTCTTTTTCTTCATTTTGCAAACGAAAAATGATTTTTAAAAAATCTTAAAAATACAGAAAACTGATATAAAAATGAATAAGATTGAAAAAATGATACAAAAAGAAAAAAAAAGCAATTTTTCCATTATTAATATAGCATATTGTTTGTATTAAATAGATGATATTTTATCCAATATTGTAGATAAATAACACAAATTGTCTAAAGACAAAGAAAAACTGTGATGATAACATTTTTATTAATCAAAGTTTTATAATAAAATAGTTTTTTTTATATAATACAATATGTTGTTTTTATCCTTCCGTTCTATCGCTCTGCAACACCAGCTTTGTCGAAACTGCAGAGGATTGCCGAATGGGGGCTCTTATATCGAAACTCCTCGCTTTATAACACGCCTTTTCTTATTGAATTTAATGGGCAAGACAATTGATTGGACGAATAATGATTTGCATAAGGTTGAACTATCTCTGGTAGGAATGTCTTCAGATTGAGATGCTTTTACATTCATTAATGGTTTGGAAATAACTTGATTCAGTTTAAAAACCGGTTTTATATCCTTGTAATTCTTCGGGGGATTGTATCTTCAATATCCAATATGATGCTATTATTCAATCACAATTTGCCCGGCATAAAAAGCCACTATCAATATAATGGCGAAGCCCACAATCAACCCAAAGCTTTGTAGCGCCATGATTTTCCATGGATTCGAATTCTGACGTTGAAATTCGTCTGCTGTGTGGTTTAGTTCTGGTAACTGAAAAAGAAGCATTAAGATTGCTATAACATGCTCCAGTCTCTTCCATCGCAGCATTGTTGAATGAAATTGATCAACAACAACAACAAAAATTTAATCAACTAAAGATACATAAGAAATAATCTCCATCTGTGTTAGTAATACATGTAGTAATTACATAAAAAAAAATAGACTCATTAACTACTGATTAGTAAACTTTAAACAAACTAATATGGTAAACTAATATAACTAATCTACTTACCATGTCCACTAATGATACATAAAGAAACAATCCTCCAGCAATTGCGAATATCCATCTGTTAGCAGATGTATTTTCACCTAACAATATACCTATTATCAAACCTATATAACATATAACCGCCGCTAGAAAGTTATATAATAACGCTCTCTTCATAGATAGTCCACTATGTAATAATATAGCTACATCTCCTACAAAATAACCAAAATAACACTGAATTAGAACAAACCATTATGTTTAGTTTGAATTAGCTTTTTCTGACATCATAACGATAGCTATGAAAACGCTTGGCCCCTCAGAGCCTGGTCTAGGGGATGCCAATGCCCCCTATTGTTAAGCTACCAGATTTCAAATGGCCTGATAGGAATTTTGAGCATTTAAAGGGCTAAACTTTCACCTTAAAATAAGACCTTCATAGGCCTGAAGAAGCGGGGTATGACCCATTGACCCACCCTTTAAGACGACGCTGAACTCACGGACGCCAAAACTTACCAAGTTCATGTGGCAATTCCTCACAAACAACAGCAATAGAGACACTAACACCAGTAAATATATTCTCTGTAAAGGCAGCACCGATAGATAAACCATCCACAAAATTATGTAGAGCATCACCGATGAGTACCATCCAAGCAACAGTGGACACCGATCTGTTTCCACTCTGTATTTCACTCTCAATATTTGCTGGTAGATGACTGTGACTATGTTCATTCTCTGATGCGAGAGGAAGTTTTACTTCTAATGCTTGGTCGGATGGCTGCTGAAAGATATAAAGGCAAACGTATGAAAGTGTAATGTCATACAGCATCCATCATTACAAACTTTCTAGCGAACTTTTCACGGGTCTTCTTTACTCTCCGACAAATCCTTACTTTCTGTGTGAATAGTTCACTTGCTGCTACCAATGTATTGCCGAACTCTTCTTTTGGATTTCGGGTTTTGTTTTTGTGGTTTGGATTGTTAGTACTTGTCTTTGTTTTCCAAAAATTTCTCAGAAAAGTAAATAAATGGTAGGCTTACATCATACTTGCTAATAAGTGATGTGGGCATGAAATCCCTAAATTATCATTCAGAAAGTAAATGGGGGTTAAAATTCGAAAATTACTGCAATCAACCTCTCTAAATATTCTGAATTTGTGCGAACAGCAAGAATATGAATCAATGGTTACCTTTGGTTTATAAAATATAATTTTCAGTATTCTTTCTGACATATAAAATATGTAAATTCCTGCCATAGCAGTTGCTGCCTTCCATAAATAATCATCAGCTAACTCTTCACATGACATGATATCAAACGCCTGAAACAAGTAAATAATAGTATATATAAATTAATTTTAAGAAGGTCTATACGTCAGTTTCAAAATGACATGTAAATCTGCATAATATATTGTCTAAATATCATGACTGTCAATTTACGAATTTGATTTATAAGGACTTTGAGACTTAAAAGCATTTTAAGATTCCTCTTTTAATTTTGATTTGAGACCCCCTTTTCGTGGACTTTGAGACCCTCTTTACAAGGACTTTGAGACACTCTTTACAATGGCTTTGAGTCCATCTTACAGGGACTTTGAGACACTCTTTACAAGGTCTTTGACACACTCTTTACAAGGTCTTTGAGACCTCTCTTTGCAAGGTATTTGAGACCTCTCTTTGCAAGGTCTTTGAGACCTCTCTTTACAATGTCTTTGAGACCTCTCTTTACTAGGTCTTTGAGACCCTCTTTCCAAGGTCTTTGAAACCCTCTTTACAAGGACCTTGAGACACATCTTTACACGGACGTTGAGGCATATCCTTATAATAAGAATCAAGCTTTTCTTTACAATGACTTTAAGACAAAGCTTTGAAACGACAACTTTCAATATTGACTGATTTATTCTTGTAAGGTATAAAGTATATAAGATGTGTATAAGGTCATACATTCAGAGTAATACTTTGGGTACAAAGGTCACCTCCTAGTGGCACTATATAATGTATTTATATAAATCAATTTAATCCATTACTTTACCTCTGGTAAAAGAACCAGTAAACCAGTTGCTGCTAAGGTCCCTACTGCCATAGCAACTAAAAATGTTAGAAGCTTTTGGAAGAAAGCTTTTTCCATGAACGGTGCTAAAAGTCCACCAACGTTGGAGATTACACACACCAGTGTAACAAATCCTATACCATAACCCCATACTGAAAGAAGGAAATTCGTTAGCATATCATATATATATATATATATATATATATATATATAGTTTCGGTATTTTCAGATTATCCAACTCAGTACGTTGTTAGTCTTAAACAAGTCTTCGTCATGGAATTACTCATCTCATGAAAATACTTTTAGTTGATATATGGAAAATTTTATATCATGATTGTTTCATATGAGTTATTGGAAATGTGTCACCAAAAGCCATATCAACCTGTCATGTTAGTCATACGGCTTTATTTGAAAAGACCAACCAGTTATTAGTTTGGCATTTGATAGAATTCCTACCTTGTGCCGATGACGGTTTCAATTCGTGGTGCTTTTCAACATCTTCACAGGCATCATTCAGTGTAATGGAGATTAATGCTAAGGCGGCTTGAGGTATATTTCTGGCTGTGATTCCAGATACGCCATCGCTATAGATGTTATAAATGTCCTCTGCCGTTAGACACTATAAAATGAAACAAAGGGTAAGAAATTGATAATGACATTGGACGAGTTAATTTCAAAATCAACAGTTAAAATTGTCGGTTACGAAATGAGCTCTTGTCAAGTACATGTAGTTCTATAGAAATTGTTCTATTCAATGTAAGGGTGTCGTGCCTAATATATCACTTGACATTTTCTGATTCTAGACATTCTAAAACTAAACCGTGAATATGATATCTGCAATAGTCATTACACCACGGTTTGGAATAATTTTCATGAGCTCACCCCGTCTTAAGGTTGCTGTATATATTTCTAGATTTTGCTGAAAATTCTTATGAAAAATATTTAAATTTTGATTTAATTCGCATATAGTCGTGATCAATTTGATTTTGGCTCATCATTGGAAATATTGGGTCATAAAAGGGGACAAACTGCGATGCGATACCACTTAAATCGAACCCTGCCCAGTGAATAATTCATAAGTTACCTTCTCAGACGATGAATTTGATGTCACTTCCGGTATGCCATTATCATATATATTGAGTTCCTGTAAGACCACGTGGCTATCAGTATGAGAATTTCGTAATTGTTTCCACAGATTCCTAAACTGGGGATTTGTCAGCGTTCCTCCTTCACCATACTTTGTTAAAATTTCCTTGACGAGTAAGGCAGTTTCATTTTTAACGTTGCACGCTTCGTTGTACGTCTGCGATCTAGCTGCTACACACACATATAAGTTCCACGAGATTAAGAGGGTTAAGAACTGATTCAACATGGCTGACAACAGATGTTTTCTATTGGTGGTATTGAAGTGGTGTTATTTACAACAATATTATGAACTTGACTTCAGTGATGATTTACGACCGTAAATAACAACAATGAAAAAAATCACCGAATCCATTTAGATTTGAAATTCAATAGAGTTTTATATTTGATGTAAACACAGAATATTTGACAATAAAATTTTCTGATAATAGTCGGATTTCGATTGGATTAACATATGAAAAACACGTGGTGTTATACAGAAGATAATATGACCTAGTTGACCCAACCTAACCACTTGCTGGTTTCATTTCAACTAATAATGAGTCAAAAAGAAAATTAAATTCGGCATTAAATTGCACTATTATCAATGAAGTCGATATCCGATACGAAACAGTAAAGGTAAATATATATAGTCCTCGAAATACAATAGTTATCTCCTTAAGAAATGTTCCAAGGTCCAAAATGTATAAGAATACTCAACATATCTTAATCGTTATCATTCTTATCAATAGTTATCGTTACAATTATCCATATGCCTGCACACGTTTGGTCGAGATCTTTTCTTTCTTGAAATATTATAACGGTTTGACCGCATTTTGTGATAGTCAAAGAGAAAAAGTTATAGGGATTTAATAGCCTTGGCTTTTCTGTCGAACGTATTCAAGATCGCATCGTATTGCATATATTGCTATCATAGGTAATCCTTATCTTAGGAACTAAGATACACAATTTGTTTACGTGATTTTCAAACTGGCCAATTAACACGGTTCTACAGACGGTTTGTTTTGTTAATATCTGCACACGCGCGAAACTTGTAAATATTAAATGTGTACACACACACCTTCATGTCTTACTTCTCTGCACCTGATTGGGCTAAACAAAACAACGCTATGGTGTATCCAACAAGAGGAATAATGCTACTTTTTTTCGATTCTCAACTGTCGATTGATCATATACGGGCATAGCCTGTATTTATTATCCTATTCAAACGACTAGACGTCCTTCGATCTATTTCACTGACAAAGGTGTATTATTACGAGATCATGTTACATTAACCTGAACTTGGCAAGCGAAAGTCAAGTACTGAATATTTTGTAAAGATTAAGCGTATATGCCCTTATAGTGTGTGAATGCGAGGGCTTATGTGTTTGGGAGAGGGGAAGGGGGATTGTTATATTGAAAAGACAATGATATCTGTAATTGGCATTTGTGAATTTTACTACAATTTCAAGTGATTATCAGCAAAATTGGTGAAATTATGTGGTGCCATTTTATATTTTAGTTTTGCGTTTAACATATTGAGGTAGCCTTCCGCCTCCACCCCACTTCGTAAGGTATTAAATGCCCCACAGCCTTATAGCAACTTAGAAGACCAGTACCCAGGTACAAAAAACACATCGAAGAGTACTATGGCACGCTGACGGAACTTAGAACAAAAAAGTTCGATGATGTGCAACGTTTCTAAAATAAACTCCACGAAAAAAAGATAGCTTTTGAAACGTCAAAATGTATATTTCTAATAAATAATATAATATTATACAATATATGAAATATATAATTATGAATAATAGATATTTGACATATTATGAGCTGTTTGAAAGACATTTGTATCCAATTTCTGTTCTTCAAACTTCCTTCTTTCCGCAAATAAAAAATCTCCCAATAACTCTCTGAGATCTTTTTATAAATCTTCGTAATAAAGTGTTTTTCTCATGAGACACTCCTAAATAGAAATAAAAAGAATCAATAAAGGGAAATGCAAAGAGTTTTTCGTCCGTTTTTTTTCCTTTTCCAATTGTATATTTAGGGGGGTTCATTATTTGGAATAAGTTTAAAGTTCCACCAACTGTACATATAGTTCCATGTCAAAATCAGCTCATTCATACTGTAAATCGAAAGAAGAAACCCACTTACCAACTTGATTGTCGAACATCTCTGAACGGTTTTCGCTTCCCTTTTTGTTTGGTGTAGCTTTTTGAGGCGATGCTTGATCTTCGGGAAGTTTGACCACTGTGATCTGGTAACGACTAGTGTTTATAACAGTCCATCCTTGTTCAACTAGATTGTTGATTATTGGATCGTGTCGTTTGGTTTTCCTTGAAGATTTTTCTGAAATGATAAGTACCATAAATCCCTATGCATTCCTTTTGACTTTTTCAGGACAAAAATCCGAAGACCAGTTTGTCTACAATTTCATTAAAATCTGGGGTGAATATTGCTCTATGCATTTTTGAGACAGATACATGAGACCGAGCGTTTTGAGAAAAATTCGTTGATATTTCCAGTAAATGAAAAAAGGAATTCCTGATGGCTATTTTTTTATATATAAAATCCATAAAGTTTCCTACATGAACTGTTTTTGTTTCTCAGTGTAATTTTTTAATGATCTTACCTTGTTTAACATATTGTCGCGTCTTTTTTCCAGTTTTGACAGTAACTTTGTCGTCAAGTTTCACCACTCTTTTCTTTTTAGCCAAATTAAGTTCTCCAGGAGCAGCAAATGATCCATGTTTCGGGATATTTTCGCGTGTTTTTGCAACATCACCCATTACTGCAAAAAGGAAACCAAATCATCAATTATGAAATAACAAATAACAGTGAATTCGGTGAAAGCTACGACGATTTAGGTAAAACTGTCACATTTGACAAAAGTTAGAGTACAATAATGATACTTACTTGAATGTTTGATGTATCAAACAGTTTTGAAGTGTAAATTTAAGACTAATTTCAAGTAAATTAAATCTAAGCGTCTTAAAATTTCAACGAATTGTTGAATTATGAAAGCATTATTACCTAACGTTATTATGACGTCATAAGCAATAATGGTTTGCAGAATGCTTCACGCTGATTGGATAATGGACTCCCCACCCCATTTATCCTCAAATTTTACAATCTAATGTATATTTCTAATTCTAATGCTGTAGCAATATTTTGCATTTTCGACGACTCACACCCATGTTAAATGTTGGTCCTAAAGCTTATTGACAGCGATCTTACGAGTAGCATGCTGAACCATCAGCTATAGGTTTGAATGGAATAATGAGGAGAGACATTCATCCTCTGACAAATGCATTTACCTTTTTCTTGCCGAGAAATCCGTTTCTTTGGGACCAACGTCTGTTCTCGAAGATGTTCCATTGTTGGGCAATTCTGGAATACACAATGAATATAAAAATTGCATCTTAGGTTATTGAGTTTTCTAATTATTTATAAGATCTAGTATAAGTAAGTAAAACCACTTTTTGAAATTCAAATCTTGATGGATATTATTAAACTTGTCATTTTAACATATAAATATAGTGCACTGATCGGCATTATCAATAATCAGCAAGCCCTCGAAATTTGTCTAATTTTTTAAACCAATACTCATTATTGGATGGAGCTCCAACTCAGTGGTGGCGCCAGCCTCCCGAGATTGGGAGTTCAAATGGGGGCCAGACTGACAGAATGGAGGGACAACTGTTCAGCTGAAGTTCAAAAAATCAGAACCAAGCCCTATCGGTTTCACATTTCGTGTGACGTGTATAGACCTACACAAAAGATCTTCAGAAGGATCTGTCACAGGAATTCATCTGTCTACTGTGTAGTAAGTTGTGGACCGGCAGTCCATTAAACGGATGGAAAGGTGTCAGGGCAGGAAAATCTTATTCAAGGTGACTTACCAGATAAGGTGTTGAAACGCTTTGATGTGTTTAAGATGAAAACTTGTATTTTTTGTAGTAAACTAACGCTATACGTCTAAATATTTCTCAGAAATACTTAGAAATGATGCTAACGTTATTGTGACGTCATAATAAAAATGTGATTCTATATCCAACCAATCATCCTCTTCGGGATCTATATCAATTTCTCCAGCATATCGAGTCCTTAATGCTTTGTAACTTCAGTAACATTGAAAGACATCAACATAGATGGAGCACATGGGCATTGGCATAGCGTGGAAGTGAATGTTCGACTGGGGGACTGTCACTTCCCCGCCGATTATAATATAATAATGCAGCCTACTGTCAACGAATTTGACTAGGTTCTATGTTGTTCAGGGACAAGCATCAACCAAATATTGGATAAGCATCAATCAATATTATAAGATAAGCATCAACCTTGACACGGTGCAAGTTTCCAAGCAAAACTTTAGCCAAATTTATTGACGATATTGATTGAGCACCAGCTTTCAGTGGACAGAAGAAATGACTATCAGATACGACGTCAATGGTGTCCACATTTCTCTTTGAGGGTATAAAAGCCAGAAAAAAACAGAATATAAAGGTGTTTTCAAGTTTATTAGAAAAAGCAATTTAATATCAACACTAAAATGAAAACAAATAAATAGTATTATGTCAAATTATTATTTGTTTCAGATCAATTCCTTCATAAGATTTAATGTTGAGAAACCATTTGAGATCAGTAAGATATTCTAAACTTACAATACCAATACTTTTTAGAGGCCGCAGTTTTAACATAACATTTTATTTGCCTCTATTCGAGCCTCTGATAGATATTTCGACTGTTATTGGCTGGAGCTACATTTAGCCGACAACTTTCAAAATAGCTATCATAGGCATATGTTTCAGTCTATAAGAAACTAAGCTCTGGTGTGGTACATTCAATGGACGTTATAATATATTCCTGATGAAAAAGGCAAGACAGCATTACCAACAGTATTTTGAGATTGCTGTTTGGACAAATGCCACACATAAATCTGACTTTGAATTAGAAAAGTCTACGCCACATGCCAGAACGACTATTAAGTAATTCCTTACAAATATAAACTCTTAATTGAAGAAGTAAAAATATTCGTCCCCATGAGATGAATGTTAGATAGGGCCACAGGGACCGGTATCTGTGGACAGGACCACGTCCTGGTGTATTGGAACTAATTCTGACCCATGTGGACTTAATGAGTTGGGGCCCTCCCTGGGGAATTCGTTTTCTCGACATATTTTTAGGCCTACTCTCCGACATTCGGAGATCTTGGCAGAGCAAAGTTGTGAAACAATTTATATTGTGTGAACGTTTAAGATACTTACTTTGGAACAATTTTTGCATATTTCTTTCTTAAAATTGGGGCCTGTGGGCTTGGTTCAACTTGTCCCTATGATAATTGAGCGACTGGCAGATTGACTGTAAGTAGGTGGTATAAAATTCGAATGTGGTATAAAACCTGAATGTGAAAATTAAGTGTGTCCTAATTTAATAGAGGTAAGACATTGAATTACCTTCAAAATACCCTATATTAAAAAAATAGTTGAAAAACATCGGTTTTTATTCATAAAATAATTTAAATATATGTATATGTTAATACTATTTTAAAGAGTGAATACACTAAAAATAATAAAACTTAAATAATACATTATAAAAACTATTAGTCAGATCTGATTCAAACAGGAGATTCTAATTATAATTAAGAAACACTCTTAACTTTCATAATGGAGAGCAAGGTTCAGGCGAATATTTCATATCTATAAAATGATCTACACATGGCATCATTATAAATTACAGAGTTCAGGTTGAATGAAATTGATTAAAGTTAAGTGGTAATTATAAATAACTACATTATATAGCTTTAAATAAAAACAGTCCTCTAGATGTTTGCTTTTATCAGTTGATTTCATACTATTTATATAACTTTTCAGAATGAAAAACTGAAGTTCAGTTTCTCTACAGACAAATACAAACATTGAATTGTAGACTTTCCATTTTGAAGAGTAATGGAGATAGCTGTGAATGAGCTTAACTGAGCAATCAATTAGTTAGTTCTGCATGTTCAGGATTAATGTTCACCTGTTCCACCCAAAAAGTAGGTGTAGACAGAATTCAAAATGGTGAAGCGGTAAATTTTGAATGTTGATGGGTCTGTTTAATTGAAGGCAGAATTTTGAACAGGCAGAACATGTTCAGAGCTAACCAATCGAGCGTTACCAGTATAATAGGTTTAGGTCAAACACAACCTTGAAAGATGATTTCAGGAAAAGATAACTCTTCTTATCATAAGATTTAGCTGATGAGAAAATATACAATATGAAAGGGATCAAATGGGTTAATTTACAAAATTGAATATCATCTATCTAAATATACAAATTCAACTGAACTTTAACTACAATAAGATATGCCTGAATAGATGAGTTCAATAAAAGTGAAGGGGCAAACTATTTCTAGTCTTAAAGGGACAAGTTCGCTCTTCAATAAATAGAAACGATATACAGTGAAATTCCTACTTATGATATTTTTGAAGAAATTGTGATTATCGTACATTTCTAGCATTTCTGAAAACCCAAATCAACCCCTAAAATGGCGAACCTGTCCCTTTTATAGTGGAACTCTTTTCTGAAATTTGGTAGAAATGGCAACAAATTGTCTGAATGGGATTTTTGGAATTCACAATATTCTTTATTTTTTATCAAAACAAATTTGATGACATAAAAAAAATCAGTTCAAAAAGCAAAAAAAGCCTAGCCCTGTTTCTTAATAAATATTACCATCAATTTTATAATACTTATAATATTAATAGTAGGATTTTTTTAACAATGCAAGCCAGCTACATAAAATCTGTTGAATGAATGAATTTTTCTCAAATATAATCAGCACCGAGATGAATTTGATAATTTGAAACATTTATTCTGTACCATTTTTAAGTTTCCAGAATAAGATCATTATTGCTTAAACTATCAGGGGTCAACATTACTCTATTAGTATATAAAAAAACTACACTACTTTTAGTACTAAAACTCACACTAAAGCACCCACGTATTGTAAACAACTATCATGTTCAAACTATGTCCCAATTTTTAAATTCTGTTGATGAATGAAACTTTTTGTATCTATTCAAATGAGATATCACCTCCATATAAAGCCATGATTAACATGATAGCAAAGCCAGTGAATAAACCACAATTTTGTAATAAAAATATCTTAATGTTTCCATATTTTTTGGCTTCTTCTGATTCTGCAGCTGCATTCATTTCAGGCATCTGAAGGTAAAAAAAGGCATGAGAGAAAGAATTTTCAAATTCGTCTCTGTCACCATTTAGTTGTCAAAAAGCTTAAAAGATAGCTTGCCAGGCAAGGTAACATACGCCCACTACCAGCTGTTCGAAATGATAACAAAGTCTATAGTAGTTTAATATGACTTGTGAAACGAATCATCTGATTTTTACTAATATCAAGCTTTACTGAGATCTCATACCAAGTTACATAAATGTAGTCTCTATCAGGCCTACAAGCCAAATCAGATGCATTGAATTAATTCAAGGGCAATTACTCCAAAACCGTTCACACGATTGTTACCAACTTGTCTGAGATCTTGTCCATATATACATGCGTACCAAGTTTTATCAAGATCTGATAAAAATTGCAGCCATTATCGGGCATACAAGCCAAATTTAACATGTTTTTACTAAATCAAGGGCAATAACTCTGAAACCGTTCATCCGATTATTACCAATTTCAAACTTGACCGAGATCTCATCAATATATTTCCATGTGGGCGTATAAAAACCAACTGTATCTTTGTAAGATGGTAATGGTATGGTATGGTAATCGCATTTGGTGAAACGAATTTGAATGTATAAGCTTACTGATGGTACTAGTAGTATTAAGACACACATTTACCGATTTACCCAGCAGTGTGCAGCCAATCCATATTATTCCAAGCCAAGCCATTCTAAACTAATATCTCTATATAGTGATAACAGTTTCTACTTACCATATCTACAAGTGCTATATATAAAAACATGCCACCAGCGATAGCAAATATCCACTGATGAGCTGAGGTACTTTCTCCTAGTAATATACCCACTATCAATCCTAAATAACACATACATGCTGACAAAAAATTATACATTAATGCTTTCTTTAAACTCATACCAGAATTCAGTAAAATAGCAAAATCACCTGAAATTACACAAGAAATTGCAGTAAATCAAATTGTCAAGAACTCATCCAATGCTGATCCTTTTTTCAGATAAAATCCTCATTAGGAGAACTAGTTTGGAATTGGGGTTAACTTTCCACTAATTTTACTACTCAGGATAGAATTGTAATTTCATTAAATGAAATTGTAAGAACTTATCTACTGGTGACCCCATTTTCAAATAAAAAAATCTTCCATCATTAAAACCTGTTTTGAATTGAGGGCTAACTTTTGAATATAGGACTTCTCAATACTCCAGACAGATTCCCTTAAACATGTGCAAATCATTATGTTTTATTTCAGCACAACATCAAGTTGGAAAAGAAATCTTTTTATTTCATAGCAAACTTTTGGAAGATATGGTTTTTTATTAATTATAATGAAAGTCATGTGCAGTATTTGGATACATGCCCTTCCATCTGTTATCAATAATGTAACACATAAATTACTACAAGTGGCTTACCTAATTCATGAGGTAATTCTTCACAAATACAAGCCAGAGATACACTAACTCCAGATAAAATACTGTTTGTAAACGCTGCACCAATAGATAACCCATCTATAAAATTATGTAAACCATCACCAAATATAATCATCCAGGCCACTGTAGCTATCTCTTTACCTTCACCACCATGATGGTGACCATTGACAGATTTACCATTTACTTCTATCTTCTATAAATACAACATTATAATTATGTCTAGTTAGATGTATAAAACAACTGAAAAGAACATCTCACTGTCCGATTAATCGAAATATTGAGCTCCTGGGATTTATCACTCAGACGGATTATTAATGCAAAAATGCTTGAGAGTAAGGGATAAAGGGACACAATTCCATTAACTTTACAGACCACAACTAAATGAAGTTTTAAATTCGGTTTAAAGATCTAACTCAAATTTGTTTCACTGTTATTGAGGAATGATTTGGTTAGAGTACTCGCTTAAGTTAAAGAACTGGTGGCTGTAGGTTCAAATCTTGGTCAGCAAGTTTAAGTCTTGTTAAATTAGACAGGATCCCCGAGAACTTCAGTTTGCAAGCCTTCTGGAATGTGTGATGAATTCAAATATTAGAAATATAATATACTGATGAACATACTGGGGCAGGTGTATCAAGTTGTCCATTAGGTAAACTCTCATTGACCACACTAGCATCACTATTTTCATCATTCAATAAGGTAACAGTTGTACAGGATGAGGAAGATTGAGGAATAGTGGACGGATCTTTAAATTCAGATTCAGATTTCTTCGGTGTTCGCTGGCGTATTGAACAATAAATATCTTTATCTCTACCTTCATGTTTTTTAGTCTGTAACATAGAGACATGAGTGTATAAAAATATGTCCACATTATGTGCGTAATAGTAAATATGATTTTCTACTGATGATTATAAATTGAAACACCAGTTGAGGACATATAGCCTGATAAATACAGGCAATACAATATAGAGTGCAATTAAGCGTTATGAATATCGAGCTGTTACTAATAATTCTTAGAGGGACACTGGTAGCATCAATTTGCGCCATTCAAATTCTCTGGACGTCAGTGCATCCTGCAATTTCATTAAATCTAAGTGTCTGATGACGTCAATAAACGCACAATATGTCATAAGGCCCATCGTGATTAGTGACGTCATCAAACACTTAGTTTTAGTAAAATGTTGCACAGCTGTAGCACTTGGGTCTTCATTCCATTTTCCTCTGACCAGCTGAAAAATGGGATTAGAAATAGAGATTAATACCTGTCTCCATATTGTTAGCATTTTCATTATCCTTTCTGTTAAATAGAAGAGATATATACCACCAATAACTGTTGATGCTGTCAATATATAACCATTATCATGGTCTAGACCAAATGCCTGGAATATGTGATCATAATGTTGGAATTAGTGAAATGTGGATACTAAGTGTATTAAAAGAAACACAATAATGTCTCTGTATCATTGGTAAGCTTACATCATGTTTTTTTTTTTTTTGTCTGTGAAGCATTTAATGAAAAAAATCTTTTTACATTTTTTAGAGAATAATTTGATTAGATTTTGTTCTGTTAATCATGAAATTCTGATGATATTCTAAAAAAATTAAACAGTTTATTCCTGTTTTAGTCTGATAGATATATGTCTACTCTAAATGATAATTGTCTTAGAGTTGCAGGCAGATTATTTCAAAAGCAAACATTTCGTTTGATCAATATCATGCTTCTGTAGTATCATATCTTTGCATTAATCAATTTCTTTTAAAATCAGATTGTGCATATGACAAAGTAGGCCTATATTTCAAATCCTTTCAGGACACTATTTTTCTAGTCATTGTTGGCAACTACCAAAAGTTCACGACTTGACCTTTGACACATGTCTGACCAATGTAAGACATCATTGTTTATTATGAATCAACAATAATATATCTACTAAAAATACCATTAATTACCTCAGGGATTAAAAACAACAGGCCACTACCAGTCAATGTACCGACAGCTAAGGCCACCATAAATATTAACAATAAACGATAAAACACCATCTTCATAAAGGGTAAAACAATGATACCCACTAACGAACATAGATTGATAACAGAAACAAACAAAATACCATAACCCCATACTGAAAAACAAACAAAACATAAGAAAATACTGCTATCTTTGAGTTCTGGAATGATTTTTTACAAATTTTGATGTAAAAATCATTCTGTGCCTTTTATTATGAAAAGAGGCTAATAAATAATCGTGCCGATACATTGCAATTATTTTTATCTAACATAATACATTGATAAGAGGGAAAGAATCACGGTTATCGATTCATTGGTGAATCATTGCAGCTTTTTTTGAGGCATAAAATTAAACAAATATACAGAAATTTTCCTCAAATTATTCCAAAAGCTCCAGATTAATTTCATTAAAGGTATTGTAAGTCTCAATTATTATTGTTTAAAATTTTTCTTGGTAAACAGGTACTAAAGGGGTTAGGGGAAATATGTGCTTTTTATCCAAGATACATTCTAGAGCTCAAAAATATGTAGGGGCATTAAAAAGATTTATGGTAAAACACATCTAAAATTCTATATTTAGAAAAATTTCATCTGGGACAGTCACTTTAAAGGATAACTGCGTCTAAATTTTAAGCCTAAAATTTTGTCAACAAATGTATTGTATTTATATCAGTCAGACTTTCCCTGGTGCTATGACTAAAGAATAGAATATCTAAATATAACATCCTCACATTTTAACCAAGATAAAAAATTTCAATTGTTTGGTCATACTAAGAGGTAGAATATCTTTAAGAAGTATTACCTGCTGAAATGGAAGGATCTTCTATATGAGGTATAAGTATAGGTGGAGATAAACAATTCTGACTTTTGATAGAATATAATACAGGAAGTGATAACTGTTGAAATAGGTTGATATCTATACTGCTATTGAGTGGTAATGAATATAATTCATATATATCATAAACACTTAAACACTGAAAAATACAATAAAAAACATTAAAAACAATAAAGTTTCAGGTACACAAACCTTCTTGGTCAGCATTAGCTAGTCTTGGGCCTAATCAACTAATCAAAATTTTATTACAATTTTGTGTCTTTTTTGTTTTCTGATATTTTTAGTCTCCATTGTAATCTACTCTTCCATAAATGGTATTTTTTAACCAATAAAATCGAACCCCATAAGGAATTGTGGTATAGCGAAACCCAAGGAGGCTATAACATCGCTCTACTTTGGGCATCACTATCCAAAATTGGAAGGGTAATGAAATTTTATTAGATTGGAGTTTTATTGATGTTTTCATGTACCAGTACAGCATTTGATCTGAAGGATATTGGGAAAGTAAATTTACTAACTGGATACAAGGATTAGGTAATATTTGTTAAAGTTGATATCACAATATCTAGTATTAATATATATCATGATATGGGTATATATTGTGATATAAGTTGTGATATTAAGTGTGATTTTAACTGGTTTTTTAAACATGTTAACTTGCTCCATCAAAAAGGATTTTAAATGTAAAAAAATCAATAAATTTCGATCAAAAACACTCAGTTTTCAATAGCATGAAAAAACCAGCTGTTCAAAACGTTTAGTTACTTGTAAAAATTGTGGCAATATTATCAGGAAAAAGGTCCCTATATATTGTGATAACTACCAAATAACACAATATGGGGGTATTTCTGTATTTATAAATAAGGCTAAACATTGCTTTCAAGGCAGTATTTTTCAAAAAACTACTTTTTATGCATAGAAAACATTCCTAAAAAAGAGGAAATAATTTATATAACATAATCTATTATAAATGGATAAATGAAGTATGTATGGGTAGTAAAAAATATCTTAGCCTTTCAGAACAGGATAAACATGTTTGAATTTCAAATGAATGAAATAAATGAATGGACGAAAAATGCAAAGCTGATAGATTTAGATTGAATATATAATTAATCATCCATACAATATTATAAACCCTGATATTTGGCAACAGCTGAAAAAACTTGCTGTGGATTAATTCAAAGATCAGATAAAATTTTGTTGAGCAATATGTTCCAGTTGTAAACTTCAGATCGATATTGCCAATGGTGTTAGTTTCTTAAGTTTATAGAATCTTCTGAGAGTTGCCGTATAAGCCATTTCTAGCTTTGGTAAAAAATTCCCACGAAAAATATACAAAATATATATGATTTGATTAGCAGATCGTTATGATAAATTTCAATAAGGTGTAATTTTGACTCGCAAGCTGCGATGCAATACTGTTTATATATTAAACCCTGACTAGATGCAAAATGATAGTTATGACAGATATAAGCTGAAGGCCAAAAGAGGCTTTACCAATGTTCGAAAACACCCTAGATAAAAAAAAAACACAATATAAATGATTGGATTGAAATGTTTTAAACAGACTGACAAAACTGTCAACGAAACCAGCACAATAAACGGCAAACATATAGCTTCCGGGCATGGTTTCAGAGTCACAAAAAGTGAGATGGGGTACAAAAACCAGACTTTTAACTTCAACTATGCAAATGGAAAACCTGGACAGGGTCTGTCAACTAACCCTGTGACCTAACACATTAGCCTACTGATGACGTCACTGTCAGGAGGTTCCTTAGATGTAAGGTACCCAAATACAGGTCATCACAAAGTGTAGTCATCCTGGTTCTGTCTGTTCTGGGCCTGTCTGACATCTGCCCTGTCTGCATTTAAGATGGCATCAAGTTTGTAAATGTAAAACGGATATAATCTTGATAAGTGGGTGTGGGTGGCTTCAATCCCTACCATTTCCAGAGCTTGCTCTCATGTCAATCTTCTTGTGTTTTTTTTTCGTTGTGTTTGTCCAACATGCAATTCAACCTTTCTATTTGCACGTGCAATATTGTGTATTCAAGGATCACATGATTTTCAATTTTTTGACATTTTCCTACCACAATGATCAGTGATCGAGTATAATTTCTATTATTGTTGTGTTTGAGCAATGTTATTTTGATGGATAAGTTATTAACTTACGAATATATATTTTTTTTGGTTAAAAATGGTATGGTTTCTTTTGTCATTGAGTTTTATGTAAAAATGACTATAAATTCGTATCAAATTTCACGTGAAACAGTACACCTGTTATAGTTAAAAGATGATGAAATACTATTTACTAGTATCAAGGTACAATAGACTATTACACTGTTATACACTTAAATTATGAGTGCAAAAAAAAAATTAAATATTTTAAAATGAAAATGTACTCATTGTCACCAATCTGTCATTTTCTATGACCTTATTTTTATTATTATTCTCAATAACACTTTGTAACTGATGATAATGTCATTATGTAAAATTCTTTTGAAAACAAATTATATTAAAATATCAATTTCTGTTTTTGATCTGACCACAATTTTTGTAAGTTTACTAAGTTTGTTGTTTGCAAATATGTTCTGAAATACATCAAAACAAAGATATACTTACAAGGAACGGCCTCAGTTAAAATTTACATTAAATTAGTTCTTGGTACATAATTTCATTGAAAAAAACCACGATCTCATCTTCTGAGGGTAAGGAAATCATACTTTTAATCAAATTTGATTATAAATTGGTCAGGTTTATCTCAAGTTTTGAATGGAAAACACATTCTGGAATTTAATGCTGACACAATTAAGGCTGGGTATCGATTAACAAATTCAGATCGATTATTGATGACATGCTGCCGATCAATAATCCAAATATTCTAAGTAAGAAATCATGACTAAATTTTTGATTCCATGGGTAATATTAATATCATAGAAGTACAATAACATAATTATTATTTGCTTTGATCAGTTATTATAGTTTAATGTTTGTAAGTGGTGAGCGCAAGACAAACTGGAAGAGGTTACTACTTTTAACAGGTACACAGAAGAAAATATAAATTTGACAAAGAAAATTTAACATTGATATTTAATTGATTATAAATTTTGATTATCGAAATTATAAATTTTAAGTGACGCTAACTGATTAGTTTACCTAGCCAAAGACACAATATCAGTAGATTGATGCATGACAATGTGACATAGCCTAATATGTACATACATTATTGTGTTAGATGATTGATAATTGATATCTTTACCTTTGCTGACATTCCGATGAAGAAAGGAAAGAAAATTCATCAACTTTTTCCAGGAAGATTGGAATTCTTTTTCATGACAAAGTGGGCATGTTACTTTAAGATAATCTCATATTTGTACTAAAAATAACCTTATGTTAACTAATTTTTATTATCAGAATGAAACAGGACAATACAGGCATACATATTTTCTTTTTTATCCTCTTTGTTAAAATGTTGAGATTATCTTCTGACATTTCCTTGATTTACATTGTACTGTTTAGTCCGAAACATCTGCCTCTATTCCAGCCTCTGATGGATAGTTTGACAGTTGTCAGCTGGAGTAGAGTCAGAAGAAAAAGACTGTTAAATGGGGATTTTCCACACCTTTCAAAGTTATATTTTATCCAGTGTATCCCTTATCAAGTAGTAATTATTTCTTCATGGTTTCCCTTCAACACATAACATAATAAATGTTAACCGAACAAAACAATGGTTTGAATTTGAATTGTCTGATCATCAACATTTAATCAATATGCATCATCTTTGGTATAAATCTATTGGATGTTAGAAAACAGCCTGATGTGCATACTTTATCATGTGGTTTGTAAAGGAGAAGCTGTCATCTATTATATGACTTTTCCCAAAGTCAAATTTTAAAAAAAGGTATCTCAAATGTCATTCAAGATTATTGAAATGCCGGTACCAATTTTTATAAAATAGGACTGAAAAATAAAGCTATGGTACCAACTGTTTGCCAAAATATATTCAAGTATCCTGTCAAACGAATGCCAAAGAAAATTTTGACAAGATAAATTGACTTGAATCTGATTACCTCACAGTCATACACAGAACATCCAAACAGCAAAAAGAGTCAAAAATTAAGATTCAGTAATGTGTTCAAAGTCTTTAGACTTTAAGTTTCTTCAGAGGTGGTGTTCAAATTTACTCACTTGGCAGTGCTTAGATCTGAAAGTTAAGTGGTGCCATGAAGTTTTTGATCCTTGGAAGTAAATCATACTTACAAAATTATTCAACTTTTTAAACAAACAGTCTGAGATCTTCTTTCTTTCATTGGAAGAATTATAATTAAAACACTGAGTAAGATTTTTGCTTCTTTCAGCGACTTCTGGCTCTGCTGGCAGATTAAATGCACTTTCTTTTATTCCAATTATATCTTTATAAAGTTTAGTAAATTCATTCAAATCCAACTTAAAATCATTTTTATCATTTAGTAATTTTTCATAAAATATTCTATTGAGAACATTGCCATCTACTTCTGTTTCAAGAGAAATGTCAAAGTAAGAAAGAAGAATGAAAATTGTCAAAATCTGTCTGCTAAAGTTCTCCATTCCAAAATAAATATTGGTACACACAACTATCGAGCAAGAGCTGGTACTTGTGGCTATCAGTTTCAGGGACTTCCGTTCTGATTCCAAGCCAACACGGCAAAGTCAGGCCGTCCTATGAAAGAGACTTTAAAGGAATTAACCTTTTTCACACAAAAACTAGTAAAAACTAATCGTTGGACAAAATATGTCGTTTTTCAATGTTATTTGGTGAAATACGTGACAAAATCTAGTAAAAAATATAGAGATATAAACACGTTGCTGCTGTTGTTGTTTATCAGCTACACGTGGTAATCAAACCTCCATATCCGGTTGATACGATTATCCAGTATTATTGTTATCCAGTATTTATGGAAGGGTAAAACTGGTCAAAATAATTTTACGGGTCTTAGTTGATAGTTTGGGTCTACACAATTCTTTAGATGACATAATTATTCTTTTAGACTTCGAGTGACTTATACCTGCTGGAAAAATAGATAGACTATAATTATATTATACGCATTGACATGATGTTGAGTGTGAAACCCATGCTTCTATAATAAGTTAAATTATCACTCTCAGAACACTCGATACATCAATAATTTTAGATGCAGTTTGGTGACATCAAACTTTGATCAAGAATCATGATATTCTCTGTACGTAAGCTAAAAAATCACATCGGTACCACATATACCAACAATTAAATTGAAACTCTAAAAACTCTTTCAATGACAAGAGCATCATCCTTCTGTAAATCAAGACAAGACTTGCGTCAAAGTCTCGTATCTTGTGATGAATCAAGGTGTGGTAAGGTAGATCATTTCAACATCTAACAGAAACACGAGATTCAAACAATATATGATTCTCATTGTATTATGTGTGTTAATTATACAGAAACAGTTTGTAATCCAATAGCTATGTATTGAAATTTATGAATAATGAAGTAAAATCCAGGGTTTTTTAATCAGTCACAGAAATATGATGGTGGGCTTTCCGGCTTTCAATCTTGTACAGAAGAGAGGCTTTATTAATTGATGATTATTGACGAAAAAAAAATAGACTTCAATCATTACTAGGGTCATGTTTCTTGATGTTATTTTTGTTATAAATGTTGAGGATTAGGTATTGATCAAAACAGTGCTGTAGGCCTACATATGAATGAAAGCAAAAGCTCATTATATATATTTTTCTTCTACTGGTTGGGCGAGTTTGAGTGTATTGCAAATAAAAGTACCTGGGACAACATGTTTCATATCTTTTTCGGTGTAATAGACTTCACTGCGGTGTTTAGTCGACGGCCTTGACCTCTTTGAAAAACGAAAGTAGAGCAGTGATCGCTCGACTGATTCTTATTACGGCCAAGTGAGTTGAAAATTCATTTTGATCACCTCTTAAGCTGTCAATATCTCAATATATCTCTTTATGAAAATGTTATTTTTTCGTTGTTTGTATTTCTGAAGTACTGTCAGTGCCGAGTTATCTCCGACAAAAGCTTGCAAGCGATTTTGCGGTTTATTGCAGTCACATCAGTAATATTATTATTATTAAAAAACGAGAAATGTGCCTAAGAATGTCTAAAATGTTACTACATCACACATTGCACACAATCATGTTTCATATATTTGACCCACCTGCCTTAATGCCAACGGTGTCAATTGACATAGTTATGTTGTTATGCCTCAACATTTTAGTGAATAAGATTGTTAATGTGAAGCTGAGAGTGTGAGGTCTAATTCATTGAGAAAATGGATATTGGTAGTTCTAAAGAGAAGACATTAACATTTTATGTCAATGGATTGAAGGTAAAAAAAAGTGATAAACTTATTTATAAGATCATCTTTGTGAATCACTGATATCAGTAAACCTAGGGAACATATCAAGTGTGTAAGATAACAAAGTCAATACCACTGACGTGTTAATATTTACTGATATCAATTACCATTAAGATATCAATATGTTTGATATTGTTTAACTCAATAAAAAGTATTTTTTTTCAGAATATCCATTTTGGGTCGGTACCACATCCTACAATTATACATGCATGTTCAAGACTACATGAAACTGTTTTATGCATGAAGGCAATTAGTCAGACTGGTTATCATTGGGATTTAGTAGCTACCCTATACTCATATAAGCTTACAACAAGTCAAATGACAGGATTTGATATGCTAATCACAAGTTTCTCTTTTGTCACAAGTTAAAAAATGTCTGATATGGTTCAGTTTTTATAATGAATATGAATAATATCAGGTTGTAGAAAAGTCTCCAGATCCAAAATGGTCATTATTGTTTTATCTGAGAACAAAGTGTATCTTTTCTAGAAGTGTAGGATACTACTGATAATGAAGTGGTTATGAAGTAATGATTTAAAGGGATTGTTAGAAGGTTTATCGAAGACACCATTCAAATTTTACAATTGAAAATTGGAATGGTGCAAATTGATGCTATTGGTGTCCCTGATACACATAAAAAAAAGTTTAGAAAACTTCTTTACAATCTATTTTAGGTTTTCTAGGATGTGCTCAGTCTTAAACATATGATCGGGTAACATTTTCAGTACCTTAAGTAACCATGGAAACATGTAATTTTTCAATGTCAAATTCTGTGACTTCTGTCACTGTGTTTGGAGAATCCAAGAGGAATTTCTCAATGCTTAAGGTAAAGAATTTGATTTTTTTTTACAAAAGAATGATGATTTTATTCTGAAGTTTTATGTCACGTTTACGGTCTTTTTACTACATTTCAAATTATTTTTACAACCTTAACAAAATGGCAGTAGATTTAACAGGAAGTAAAGTGGTATGTAATGAAGGTGGTTGTGGAGCTTGTACTGTTATGATCTCAAAATATGATCCTAAACAAGATACCATATTGTATCCTTTTCATTTGATATCTTTTTAAACCTGTAAGTTAGGTGTTCACAAAATGCCTTGTTTTATAAGTGGAATTGCAAAAACCACAGATGTTAGAAAATTGGAATGGTGCAAATGGATGCTGTCTTTACAATCTCTTGAAATCTTTTGTTTCCTATTTTACATCAGACATTATTCAGTCAATGCCTGTTTAACACCAGTATGTTCCCTACATGGTTTAGCTGTTACTACTGTTGAAGGTATTGGAAGCTTAAAAACCAGACTACATCCAGTTCAGGTAATTTGAAAGAATGAAACAGGTTAATTCTATTTGTTTATTCCAATTAACAATTGAAAATTCTAGTTCCAAAGAACTTCCAAATTATAACATCAATATCCAAAAACGATTTGGCTTGAATCGTGGACTTGTAAAGATTTTCTGGTGTTTCAGGAACCACAAATTTAAATAGGAGACTTGAATGGTTCAAAATGAATTTAAAAGTTTTACAAAATACAAGCAAGAGAACAACTTTTAACATTGTACATATGACTTTGCTCATATGCCTAAAATCTAATTTTGGATAGTTAACCTCCAATTCCAAAGCTAACTGTCCTGAAGAGGACTGAATGAGATGAGCTGTAGTTCATTTAAATGTTTACAATTGTCTGTTACTTCAGGAACAGATAGCTAAAAGTCATGGATCACAATGTGGTTTCTGTACACCAGGTATGGTGATGTCTATGTACTCATTGCTGAGAAATTACCCACAACCCTCTATGAAGGATATTGAGAAATATTTAGAAGGTGAGATTAACAGAACTATGCCTACATAATGCTTGTGTCTTTAAGATTTTCACAGCCAGTTATCTAAATAGACTGGATAAATTAAGAGTTGTTGCTTATCTCAATGTAGAAGTCCTACAAAACTGTCCAAGCTAAACAGTTCATAATAGTTAATATAGCTAGATTGTTAAAATAAAGAAAGAAACACGCATTTTACAAGAATAACTACTAAGGTTCATGAGGATTCTATCAACCTGGTCTTTTGACAAATTTTTTTTTGGGATTATCTGTACTCATTTTCATTCTGATTGACTGGAAAATAAAAGATGACTTATTGAAGGTCACCATCTGAGATGAGAACACTTGACCACCATTTGTTCAACATGAAAACATGTAAAGATTCCAACTCTATTTATTTTTATTTTGAAAATGATATTTTATAATTTGTAGGTAATTTATGTCGTTGTACTGGTTACAGACCTATATTAGATGGTTATAGAGCTTTTAGTAAAGTAAGTCATGTATCATTTTGTATATTTTTGTGGTCTGTCATAATTGGTATCTCAATACTACTTTTGTGGCTTTACCTTGAAACTATTTTGGGGGGCTTGGTGCCAAGCCAGTTAGATGCCTATATGCTTATTGGGCATTGATTTTGCCAAGTTTTTAGAACCATTTATAGCATGATCCAAAGTGGCTGCCTGATAGATTTCACCAACTTGTGTACCAACTTGTGTACCAACTGGTTTCTTGTTTTAAATTGATTCATTTATAATTTAGGAAGTATGTTCAATGGGTGAAAATTGCTGTAAGAACAAAGTAAATGAAGAAGAAAAGGAAAAACAAGAAGAGAAAAGTGTAAGAGTTAAACACAAATTCTAAAACTTAACTAAGATGAAATCTAAATTTAAGGATCTGATTGGTTAATCCAATTTTATTGATTAACCAGATGAATTATGAGAGAAGTTAACCTTCTCTCCCCTGAAATCTCACTATTACACAGTGAATTATTCTGAGGTACCAAATCTTAACAGCCTTAAATAGTTCCAACTTCAGTATTGAAGTATGATTTTATCTTATTTTCAGTTTACCATCTGATAGGCCTCAAGTTTAGTTACACAGAACACTTTTCAGAAGTTCCTTCTTAAATTATAAAATCATCAAAATGGTGCTGTTTTACTAAGATTTAGGCACTTCAAATTTGCGATTTTCCCTAAAATCTAAAACATTTCCCAATTACTATTTTTTAGCTTTGTGTATAATTTTAGAAAAATCATTTTGTATTATTTTAGAAAGGTATACAGTATGATCCAACACAAGAACCTATATTTCCTCCAGAATTAAAGGTAAGTCTCATTATACCATATAAAGCCACTCATCCCATTAAACAATTTGCATCTTTCCATTAGATCTACCATTGCATTAATATATAAACATGTGTGCTCAGGTTGACCTTGCGATTGACAGAATCCAGGAGAATCTGCTCTGTGTCTATATTAATTCGTCTTGAGCACAGCAGCTACTGATAAAATGGCAGTTGATATCAATTACATGTGTTCTATTTTCTTTCTAAAATTGAATCTGAAAGTCAATCATTTTATCTCAAGTTTCTAGTGTTCAGTCAGTGCTTTGTTCATGATGATTGAAATGTTTTGAATCGCGAGTTTGTGTATCTTTAGTGTATTAAGATTCATCTCTCAGGTTGAAATTTCCTGTGTAATTCACATCTGTTGCACTGGTTTGATAATTCAGAAATGCATTTCCTTGACAACAGACATTTTAAAATCATTATTAACTGTGGATAAGAGTTTTCACCCCTTGACTACTACAATTCTCCCTTTAGTTTCAGTAATCAGTTATAGTGTTCACGACTCACCGTCAAAATTTGATCCTACAAATTAATGTGTGTCCAGATTCACAGAATTTTTATTGTATTTATTGATTTGTTTGCTTGTTTAGATCAACAATGAAAAGTATAGAAATGAATTCCTGGAGTTTACAAGTGGTAAACAAACATGGTTTAGACCAGTGAACTTATCACAATTAGTAGAACTAAAACACCAATATCCTCACTCTAAACTTGTAGTTGGTAACACAGAGATAGGTAATGTGTTTTTAAAATGTTTAAGGTCACATAGTTAAAACTTTTTAAAAGTCACATTTTGAATTAAATTTTTATTGATTGATATTGAAAGCATATTTGACATGAATTTATTGATATTGATATCTTTAAAGGGATGTGGTCTTCTATCTGTCTATTGAACTTAGCCTCAGCCACGAGTATCATTAATTAGAATGGAAATTATAGGCTCTGTTTATCTACAATTTAATGATAGGAAATTTGTGTGACTGGCAAAAGATATTGTAGTTTAGATTTAGATACGTTTAGATTGTTTATATATAGATCTATATATATAGATGTTTCATCACAATCGATTTCAATTGCAAAATGAAAAGTGTCACAAGCAGCTAGAATTTGAGCTCTTTAATTACGTCTTTTTGCACTGTTAGGTCAAAATGTTTTGGAACCGCATGATTCAGGAAAAAACATGACATGAAACATCTTAATCAAGTAGAATTGATTCTGTATTATTAGGTATTGAAATGAGGTTAAAAGCTATGAAATATACAGTACTTATTGATGTTTCTGATATTCCGGAACTGGTAGAAGTCAAGGACAAGATTCTGGAATTATTGTTGGTTCTTCTGTCACTCTAACTAAACTTGAAGATATTTTACAGAATAAAATAGACTCTATACCAGGTAAATATATCTTTCTGGTTAAATTATCCGTTACTTGTAGTCATGCTGTGCATTTTGCCCCAAACTGAGGGTGTGCATTATAGAAAGACGAAGAATTTCCTAGTCAATATTGACTGTCTACCATCATGTAATTGACCACTGATGGTGGAAGATGCTAATATGGAAGGATTCATGGGTTTGTCATTGTGATGTTTTTGTTTTGAAAAACCCAGGCCATGGTATAGCTAGAATATAAGTCAATAAAGAGTCTGTGATATCAGTGAGCTCTAAGCAAACATTAACTTGTCAGCCCCCGACTGGACTACACTGGACTGGACTACTCAAGAGTGGTATAGACTGGAGTTGAAACATTACTTACAAATTGATACATTGTAAATTTTTGGAAAAGCCATCACATCATGTTTTAAGATTTAAGTGTTTTTTCAGAAGAGAAAACAAGATCATTCACTGCCATAGTTGAAATGTTAAAATGGTTTGCTGGAAAACAGATAAAAAATACAGCAGTAAGTATTTTAACAGTTATATAAGCTTATATTCATTTGAAATCCTGTATTACAATCTCTAGGTGTTATATAATATTAATATATTATAGTGTATTGGTGGTAATATAGTTACAGCTAGTCCTCTATCAGATTTAAATCCTGTATTACAATCTCTAGGTGTTATATAATATTGATATATTATAGTGTATTGGTGGTAATATTGTTACAGCTAGTCCTCTATCAGATTTAAATCCTGTATTACAATCTCTAGGTGTTATATAATATTAATATATTATAGTGTATTGGTGGTAATATAGTTACAGCTAGTCCTCTATCAGATTTAAATCCTGTATTACAATCTCTAGGTGTTATATAATATTAATATATTATAGTGTATTGGTGGTAATATAGTTACAGCTAATCCTCTATCAGATTTAAATCCTGTATTACAATCTCTAGGTGTTATATAATATTGATATATTATAGTGTATTGGTGGTAATATAGTTACAGCTAATCCTCTATCAGATTTAAATCCTGTATTACAATCTCTAGGTGTTATATAATATTGATATATTATAGTGTATTGGTGGTAATATAGTTACAGCTAGTCCTCTATCAGATTTAAATCCTGTATTACAATCTCTAGGTGTTATATAATATTGATATATTATAGTGTATTGGTGGTAATATAGTTACAGCTAATCCTCTATCAGATTTAAATCCTGTATTACAATCTCTAGGTGTTATATAATATTAATATATTATAGTGTATTGGTGGTAATATAGTTACAGCTAGTCCTCTATCAGATTTAAATCCTGTATTACAATCTCTAGGTGCTACATTACAACTCACTTCATCAGGTACAGTCATATTCAATTTTGATTTATATGTAAATATATTACTGCCTCATTCAGGGTATAATCCTCTCTTTAGGTGCTTGCCTTGCTTGGTATTACCAATCATATCACAATACGATAAGTATCACAATATAAAGACATTTATGATATAACATATGTTATGTGATATGGGCTATTAGATAGAATGTTGCATGTTATCTTCCAATTTTACAATTTACAATTTATTGGGTTGTATTTTTAGCAAATTCTTCAAGAAATGTAGTAATGGATAGAGCATTTTTTACCTCCTATAGAAAAACTGTGATTAAAGACACAGAGGTGCTTCATTCTATTTTTATACCATATACAAGCAAGGTGAGTGATGAAATGAATGGAGTTTTACTTCTTACTGTTCTATTTGTTCGGAAGAAGGGCAACATCTTGCAGTGTCCATTGAGAGAAATTTTGCCAGAACCTGGGCATAAGCCCACATGATTTCTGTTTCCAACTGTTTGGAGGTCTTGTACTTACTTGCAGAGCCTTAGTTTATTGTCCTCTCTGACCAGTTAAACACTTTTTTCATATCAGCCCCTTCGACCTGCATCACTGACAACTGAGTGGAAAATCAGAGGTTATCTCAACCTATACTAGAATTAAACACTGGACACTAAATAGTTTTGGTTTTTCTCATTGCACACTGCATGGCTTATCCTTGTTAGAAACAGAAATAAAAAATAGTCTCTATATTTTAGAATTATAATATTGTCATTATTTAGAATGAGTATGTATCTAGCTATAAACAAGCTACACGTAAAGATGATGATACTGCTATTGTAAATACTGGGATGAGAGTTGTCTTCAATGAAAATAGTAATATTATAAAAGAACTCTATCTATCTTATGGTGGAATGGCACCAACAACTGTCATGGCAACTGGAACAATGAAAAAACTTGTAGGAAGGTAGGACCATGTATTGTTGGGAACAGTTTTTGTCATTTTAAGACACCGTTAATGATTTCTTACCTATATTTTTTATATTGAACTGATATTTCTTATTACAGTAGGTTACCTAGGTTAATCTTGAAGGAACTTGATAAGCATCCAAAATCTTCTAAACTACAGATTTCTTATGGAGATGTTATTGTTTCACCACCATCTAACTCCTCTAGTGTTTATATACTCTGATTGTAATTGTTTTTAGAAAATGGGAAAATGATCTTATTCCTGTTGCTTGTGAAGCTTTAGCTGAAGATCTGCCGCTACAACCTGATTCTCCTGGTGGAACTATAGAATATAGACGTACTTTAACGACTAGTTTCTTCTTTAAATTTTACCTATCTGTAATTCAACAACTCTCTATCATGGTAAGTGTCTGGTTAATGGTTTGGATAGACCATGTTGTCAAAAGTTTAAACCATAAACCTCAACTCTTTTTTTTTCTTTCTGTGATAAGTAAAAAATGGCAGATATTTTTTATCTTGGAATCTCTTTAAGGGTGATTCATGTGACCTGGCAGGGTAAATATGTCTAGGTCAGTGTTGTAATGGAGATGGTTGTCCATGGTTTCACAAGTACCAATCTACCAAAATATTTTATGTAAATTATGATTTTGAACAATTTACAAAGTAAGTCATAAGATGACTTCATGTTTGATTTTTTAAGGGTTTGACTAAGTCCCCACCACAAAGTGAAATGAGTGCTATAGAAACACCAGATTATGGATCAACTGAAGGTAATCAATTCTATGAAAAAGTCTCAGAAGCACAAGCTATAGATAACCCAATAGGAAGACCTATTGTTCATCAGTCAGCTTATCAACATGCTACTGGTGAAGCTATTTATGTTGATGATATGATTCCATTGAAAGGTGAGATTTAGATTCATGGCTCATACTCCAAATTCCAAAGAATAAATCTCTTAATCTTGGATTAGTTTAAGTTTAACTGTAGTCAGTGTATGAACATTTCATTTTGTCACTCATATTTGCTGTAAATGATGATACTCTCTTAGTGCAATACCTGCCGGTAACCACCTTTAAGAACTAGGGTATTGTAATTGTATAAAATTAAATTAGTGCTTTAACTATCATCTGAAGTTGTGATATGTTAAAAAACAGGTGTTGTAATTAATTTACTGCCAGTATCCATTCCTAAGATCAAGAGTACATACATTTTATTTTATAACAAAATTCATACATCTTGATCAGTCAAAGACTGATTATGAGATCAATCAGTGGACTGACCAGTTAATCCCTGTTAATCGTTACAGATTCTATAATTTCTATCTGTTTTACTCACTACTATTACAGGAGAATTGCATGTATATCCAATATATAGCAGTAAGGCACATGCTACTTTGGTATCAGTGGATTTTAAGCCCGCTCTTGAATTAGAGGGCGTTGTTGGATATATTGATTATAAAGATGTTCCTGGTTCCAACATTTTGGATGTTCCACAGGAACAGTTGTTGGCTATTGATGAGGTAATGTATACTTCTGCAATTCTAATGGCAAATATGAATGTCGACTGTCATTTTTGGAGAAATTAGAATATTTATTAGGCTAGTTTTAGAAACAAGTGATTTTTCTCTATAACCATCTTTAGTCGTACACAGGAATAATGTTAATTTAATTTTTGAATATTACTACTAGGTTACATGTGTGGGATGTCTAATTGGTGGTGTAGTAGCTGTATCTAGTGATATAGCTGTAGAAGCTAGTCATTTAGTGAAAGTGGAATATAAAACACAAGACAAACCAGTTATATTGACTATACAGGTAAATTTAATTGGAATTCTTAATTTTTCATTTGATGATTTGCATAATTGCCTGAGTTGAGTCGAGCTTCAACTGAATTTTAAGTCAAAAAGAATTTTTACATTGCATATCCATAATATATTTTGGAAAGTCGCTTGTAAAACAATATTTTAAGTTTTATCACCCACATTGAGACATGTTCTTGGTAATGATACAAATTTATAAAACAGATCATAATTTCTTGATTGTGTTTCTCTCTTTATTTCCTTTTATGAGAACAGGATGCCATAGAACATAAGTCATTCTGGAAAGATCCAAAGATTACTGCATGTGGTGATATTGATCAAGGATTAACACACTGTGATCATGTTCTCAAAGGAGAAGTTCACATTGGACCTCAACGACATTTTTACCTCGAAACCCAGTCAGCTAGAGCTATACCTAAAGAGCGTCATGGTATGGATCTGTACTCAGCTACACAATGTCCTGATACAATACAGGTAAAAATCAGATACTGAACACTTTGACATCTGTGGACTAAAAATATGAAATCATTGGTATAAATTCATTAAAATTCATTGTGCTATCTGAACTTGCTATTGATTAGGGCCCCTCTTTATCTGTCATCATTTATTTTTATATTTTTATTATATTTCTGATAATAAGACAAAATACAGCATTTGAACAGGATACCTGGTAAGCTATTAAAGCCTTATTCTTTTATCTCTTTTACACATAGACTGGTGTTGCTTCCTGTATAGGTGTAGCTTCTCATCTAGTCAATTGCTTTACTAAAAGAGTTGGTAAGTCCCCAATATTATTTCATCATCTCTACATATTTCTACTTGACTATAATTACTGTAGTTTTTGTCACGACTGTTTCAGTAAGGTAAATTTTCTAGAATGTCTAATGCCAATGTTCATACAGTAAGACTTATACTGCTTGTTTTTGTTTTTTGTAGGTGGTGGTTTTGGTGGAAAAGAAGTACAATGTTTATATACAGGTTGTCTGGCAGCACTAGCAGCTAAAAAGTACGATTTGATCAAATGCCCAATGCCCAAAACAAAAAAATTTAATTTTCTGTCTTACAATCAACAAATCTCTATTCAATTGTCTGTTCATTAGCCCAATTAGGTGCAGTATAGTAGAATGTTAAACTCCAATCAATTTCATTTTACATTAGACAAATCTGTTACATTAGCGATTTTTATCTCATAATGTGTAAGCTAATGTAACTCTAAAATATTTTATATTATTATATAGGTATGATAAACCAGTGAGATGTGTACTAGAAAGACAAGATGATATGGTTATAACTGGTGGTAGACATTCAATATATGTCAAGTATACAGTAAGTAAAAGATATCTGTCAATTAGTATTTATACATACCTCATACTCATTACAATAGTATCTTATATAATAATACGTAGAATCTGACAAAACGCTGTGATTTTCATGAATCAACCAATCAAATTGGAGTACAAGCACAAAATCTTATATAATTTTTATCCGAACCATCCTATCCTTGTAACTTGTTATGCTTACCATCAATTCAGGACATCAGACTTGACACCACTCGAATGGAAATTAAATCATTTGATGCTCTGTCCACGTATGATGATTTACAAATACTGCCAAGTCATGGATCTTAATGTTAATTAGGTATATAGGTGTATATGTATTACACACCAACTTGGTCAATGCTTCTATAACATTATTACAATGATTGTGCCAGCAGACAAGTTTCTATAAGACCTATGGATCATTCTCAAACTTTTATTCAATTCATTTAAGGTTGGGTTTTCAACAGAGGGACGTATTTCAGTGTTAGATATTAATTTGTATGTAAATTGTGGTGATGATTTAGATGTTTCTGAGCCTGTAAGTATACTGTATAATTTAGAATACATCGCACCTTGTATAATGTTTATCCTTAAATGTCTCCCTACCATTTCCTACCATTTGCTTAGTTAACTTTGTGGAAAATACAATTTTTGTGTTTTTTTTACACCATTTGCATTATGACTGCTGTTTTTTTTCTAATTATTTCAACTACAATTGCCTTTAAATTGACCATCACTTTTATTAGAAAAACTGTTATTTTTTGATACATCACACTTTTGTAGTCAAATATGCATTTTCTTTACATTGAAGGTAATAGATAACACAATCTATAGATTGGACTGTGCTTATAAAGTAGCCAATGTAAAAATAACATCATATCTCTGTAAAACTAATGTTAGATCTAATACAGCTATGAGAGGTGCTGGTAATATTCAAGCTATGTATATAATGGAAAATATTATTCAACATGTCATTGACCATCTTCGTAGTGACCCTATAAAGGTATTATTATTATCAATTTTATAATCCATGATCTAATTAAATTATTTTGTGGTCGAATTTTGACCAAATTGGTTTAAATAACAATGAATGAACAGAGTACCAATAATCCGAACTGCAAAACGAAACAACAAATCCAAAACAATATAAACATTGATAGAAGCTAATGAATTTTTCACATGATGAAGTATGCTTGTAAGAAGTAAGAAAGTATTTCATAATGAAAAGTGGTATCAGGTGTCTAGAATACAATACAACTTAATGTCCAGCAATCAATATCCCACAATTCCTCCATGTTATCTGTACATCTTTTATTATGATTAACTATTTGATTGGATACTATTTTCAGATACGAGAGATGAACTTCTATAAAGAAGGGGAGAGAACTCATGTGAATCAGATAATTGAGAATTGTTTTATAGAAAGGTGTTGGCAAGAATGTTTAAAAACATCAGATTATTACAATCGTAAAAAAAAAGTTGACCAGTTTAATAGGTTAGTATGCTTCTCTCCCATGACAGTAATACAGGTCGCAGGGTCAAACATGAAAGTAGTGTCTAGTTGTTCTTATAAAATATTACATCTACTCAGTGATGGCACCAGCCTCTCAAGACTGAGGGTACAAATAGAAGGCAGACTGACTAAATAGGGGGAGAACTTTGGAGGTTGAAAAATTAAGATTTAGAATGCAGCAGCTGTGCACATGGGCGCAACCCTCTCATGAATCACTAGAGTGTTCTGGACTAAAAAAATGACTTTTTTTTTTACTTCTAGTGAAAATCGTTGGAGAAAAAGAGGAATCAGTATTGTACCATTGTGTTATGGTAATTCATTTGGTCTCAAGATGTTAAATCAGGTAAAAGATTATTTCTTACAGGGTTTTTGATTAGTTTTTGGAAAGCATGAGCCAAAACAAATCAATGCCATGATAATTCGTGACAAAGCTCTGATATTATTATCTTATATTATAAGTTGTCTCTACCCATATTGCCTTTGCTGTAAGTGGTATTCTTGAGAATAAAGGAATTGTGAAAAGGTTTCCTAAGCTTTTTATATATATACCAGGTACACTGACAGCATCAATTTTCAGTCAGACGCCAAAAGCATGAGCAGCTTCTGGAATAGGGCATCATAAAATGGCCCTGATAAAAAAGCAAACCCATTTAAAAGTTTTATTCATCAGGTTGCCATGCCAGATAAGAAAATTGATTTATTCTTTGTTAAATCCCCTATGAAATTTTAGGGTGCTGCTCTAGTAAGTGTATATAAAGATGGATCAGTATTAATAGCTCATGGTGGAGTGGAGCTAGGACAAGGATTACATACTAAAATGATACAGGTAATGTCTTAAAAATACTATTATTAACTCTTAAGGGTGGGAAAGGGTGCGCAATATACTCACAATTATATGGTATACATGTTTTTTAATAAAATAACACAAGTTCTTGAAAGTGAGGACTCCCTTTGCTACAAACATATACCAATTTTTGTAAACATGATATCAATAAAAGGAGAAATCCATAGTTTATGAAGTTCATTTTGCTTACAAGTTTTAACAAATCAAGTCGTGACTTTCAATTTTGGGTGTGATAGGTAGCCTGTGCTACACTAGGTATACAGTATGATATGGTACATATAGATCAAACAGCTACTAATACTGTACCTAATGGTACACCTACTGCTGCTAGTGTTTCATCAGATCTTAATGGTATGGCAGTTAAGGTATGTAGACATAACCTTTCACCATGGTTTCGTTTGGCTGTAAATGCTTGCAAACTTGAAGGTCAAGGGTTGGATCCTGGCATAGGTCTTGATAATACTTGCCATTTTTTAACCCCCTTGTCAGTGATGTAGTTCCGAGGAGCTGATATGTACAAAGGAGCTCTTTGGATTGGACAATAAAAAAGGCCCTGTGTGCTGCACAAACAACCATAACAACTTATGTTCACACTGATCTATAAACAAACCTCTAAGCATTTATCTTTCTCAGAATATCTGTACCTATTAACATCTGGGTGGACTCGTAAAATGAGGAAAGATGACTTATTCAATGTCACCAGACTGTCACTAACCAAGATTATAACCCATGACCAATATTTATTAACTAGGCAAAGTTTTCAACCCTATTCTACAGAACACTTCAAAATTATATAATAAACCAATATGCATTTATCATAAGATTTGATTTTATATGTATTTCTACAGATTGCCTGTGAGAAGATATTAAAAAGACTGGAACCAATTAAGAGTGAAAAAGGAACAGAATGGAAGGACTGGGTAGTTACTTTTGTATTTGTCTCAAAATTTTCTTACTCCATATACTTATAATTAATCTATTGCTTCATTTATTTTCAATTTTTGGAGTTTTAATATGTTACTGAATCTTGTTCTTCTAAGAACCTCAGTGTAAATTAAAAAATTCATGTCACAAATTGACATTTGCACTATATTTTTGGGTTAACGTATTGTAAAGCTCAAATTAAGCTTTATAGATTAAACTTGACCCCTTATAAATACATACTTTCTGTTCATAGGTGATGAAAGCTTATTCTGAAAGGATTGCTCTATCGGATACTGGATTTTACAGGTCAGTGAGTTTCTAGTAGAAAAATACAGCATGTTTGGAACACGAACACCAATTTTAGAATAAAATCATTTATGTATGGTAATTTTTACTTATAGATAATAAGATGCATCAAGATTTAAAAACTTGAGAAAAATTGAGCAAAGATGTGTGTTCACTTCCAGTTCATTTATAGGCTTGAAATTTGCTTTGGACTTCCTTTAATTTAATTGCTTCTAATGGTTGCTTTGTTTTTTTTTATTGACAGTCAACCTAACCTAGGATATATTGCTGAAACAGGCTGTACCAATACATTTTATTATTATTCATTTGGCGCTGGTTGTTCAGAAATAGAAATAGATTGTTTAACAGGTGTTCATAAGGTAGGTTCTTGATGTACGGTACTATTTAGTTATCTTAGTATTAGAGAGATGCAGTCTTCCATTTGTTACCTTTGTAATGTAGGTAGTTTCCCAAAGAGACCACTTGGTAGGTATGTAGTTCAGAGAGGTAACAAATACAGCATATTCCTCATATCCATTTCAATGTTGTCTAAAAATATATGCCAGAGCAAAGGAGAAATGAAGTCCCCCAGTTTCAGGATGTTTGCACCAGCACTGAGTTTAGAGAGATAATAAATACAGTTTTTGATCATCAAGGTAGTACAAACATCTATAATAGATCATCATTGAAGTTCTCTACCCTATTCCCAACCGTCTATAAATTTTCCAAGGAAACAGAGCTTTGAAGTTTTTGTTCATGTGGCTTCAAATTTTATTTGTCTGAAAAGGCTGTCTTTCTCACTGTTGCCAATGATTAATATTATAATTTAAGCTCATGATCATAAATGGATTTACCTCCCTTGAACAAATACTATTTATTTATTACTATACAGGTATTAAGAACAGATTTAGTATATGACTGTGGTACTAGTATGAATCCAGCTGTTGATATTGGACAGATAGAAGGTGCTTTTATAACTGTAAGTAAAATTTGTTTGACTGTCATATTTTGGAGGGCTGTGACTCAGGTTTTTAAAGTGCTGAAAATCATATGACATCATTTACCACGCTACAATATTGTTACTATTAAGATTTTGTTATTGAACTATACAATTTCCTGTTTTATAAGGCCTACAATTGGATTTGTATTCCTTTGTTTTAAGCAATAACGTCCGCAAAAATAGATATCTTTTATAGATTTAAGTGTATTATCGCTAGTAAGTCTTACCCATGTATATGACTCATATTTTTGGAGGGTTGTAGCTCAAGCTGTTAAAGTGCTGAGACATCATGTGCCAGGCTATATATATACGTTGTAAATCTATAACTTATTATATATTGACAGGGCTATGGGTTATTAATGTTAGAAAGATATAAAGTATCATCAACTGGTAATGTAATAACTCGTGGACCTGGTAATTATAAAATACCATCTTTAACTAATATACCAGGTGTATTTAATGTATCACTACTAAAAAATTCACCAAATAAAACTGCTATATTTTCTTCAAAGGTAACTATCATTTTTTTTTCTATTTTGTGAAGAATCTTGTTGTTGATCTGCTCAGTCAATTTTGCAAACATTCATTTAAGTGGTCTTATGTTGGAGCTGCTGTGGCTTAGTGAGTTAGACACTTTCTTGCTAACCTGAAGGTCCAGGGTTCAATCCCGCCATAAATCGAGATGATACCTTCGGATTTTTCAACCCAGTTTCCCCCTGTTATGCACTTAAGACATGGGAAAAAGTATCTAGTCGTTCGAATGGGACAATAAACTGAGGCCCCGTGTGCTACAGGCTGTGCACGTAAAAGATCCCTCGACAATTGGAAATCGAAAAAGAGAAAAATTTCCCTTGCTGACACTGCATGGAGTTGCCCGTCTACATAAGCCCACGTGGTGCAGAAAAGTAGGATGTAAAACTCCATTCATTGCAAATTTGTCCATATCAATCAGATGAGATCTTTAATTTGTCAGTTGATCTTGACCCACCTTCAGTATTGAATATTGATGTACTTGTTAATATTACAGTGTGTTGGTGAACCACCCCTACTTCTATCAATGTCTGTGTTTCTGGCAGCTAAACAGGCTATAATGGCAGCTAGACAGGAGTCTGGTGTTGAAGGATATTTTAGATTTGATTCTCCTGCCACACCAGATAATATCAGAATGGCTTGTGTTGATCAGTTTACTAAACAGGTAATTATGAATTGGTCACCATTTATTTATCTCTGGGATCTGGTATCTATCGTTCTAAAAATATTGTTTCTTATTTTGAAAAAAAGAGCTCATTAGAAAACAAAATACCCAGCAGTCCCAGACTGTTTATTCCAATTTCTCAATGAAGTATGTGTTCCAACCTAGGCCTGTACATTTGGGATAATCAAACCCTCCCTTCCCCAGCATCTAATTTTTAATAAATAAATTTTTCCTGGACAGACAGAAAGGTTTATAATATAAGGCATATTTTGATCCATTTAAGAAATAAATTTAAGCTGTCCAAATTTTCCAGATTTTAGAATGAAAATCTGGCTCACAGTTTGTCTGTGATGTAAGAAAAACATTTAAGTGACCCATTAAAAATATTTAGATTCCTATGTACGTTATAACTGACTGTTATCAACTATGGAGTTAAAGCTTTATTACTTGGGATTAAACTTCCTTTTGAAAAGCAAATGATATAATTATTCTACTCCTGCTATTCCTTATAATTTGTTCTATTTTTCAGTTTCCTATATGTGAAGATAATAATGTAAAACCATGGTTTGTAAAACTCTAGGACAGAAACTAGCTTATAAGTCTTGTGATGTCACTTACCTTGAAATATTTATAGTAACATTCAGTACTAATACAGTATTGATTGAAAGAGAGCAAATATATTATTTCACACAAAATATAACTTATACTTTCACTATCTCGTGATAAGTAAATACAAAGTATGATAAGTAACAAAAATTAATGATAAACTATTAGAATTATGATAAACAATAAGAATTGGGCTTTGTGATTGGTATTATGATTAACTACGGGCATTGGGCATTATGATAAACGGTTGGGGATTGTGATTAAATACTGGCATTGGGCATTATGATAAACGGCTGGGGATTGTGATTAAATACTGGCATTGGGCATTATGATAAACGGTTGGGGATTGTGATTAAATACTGGCATTGGGCATTATGATAAACGGTTGGGGATTGTGATTAAATACTGGCATTGGGCATTATGATAAACGGTTGGGGATTGTGATTAAATACTGGCATTGGGCATTATGATAAACTGTTGGGGATTGTGATTAAATACTGGCATTGGGCATTATGATAAACGTCTGGGGATTGTGATTAAATACTGGCATTGGGCATTATGATAAACGGCTGGGGATTGTGATTAAATACTGGCATTGGGCATTATGATAAACGACTTGAATTATGATAAACGACTTGGAATTATGATAAAGGTTTTGAAGATAACTAAGAATTGGGTTTGGTGATTAAGAAATATGATAAACAACTGGGAATTATGAAATGCGAACTGTGTTTATGATAAACTATTGGGGGTTGTTACAACCGATTGGATATGATAAATGGCTGGGAATGGACTGCTGGGTAATCGAATGGGAATTAAGATTTAGGACTGCAAAATGCAAAAACGACTAAGAGTCATGATAATCGACAAACGAATGGCATTCATGATAAGCGTTTTAGGACTTTGAAATGTGATGATTGACTTGGATTCACGGTATTCATGCTAAACGAATGGGATTCATAATAAACAATTTGGATTTATGATAAACCAACGGGATTTATTAGAAACAATTTGGGATTTATCATAAACCACTGGGATTAATGATAAACTACTGGAAATAAGTCTAGATCAGAATGAAAATCATTAATATTATATTTTTTGTTTTGATTTTTATTTTTTAAATAAAGTTTGTTAGTGCTATTTTTATTGTATACTTCTGTTCCCCTTAGTGAATAAAAATATAAAAATTTTGATTTCGTTTGCCTTATCATGTTCGTTGAATGTGGATCAGGCATTCTGATATACTTTCAGATAATGAATATATGTGTAAAAAACGGAGATATTGGAGCCTGGAATCGTTAGGAAATCCCCCCCCCCCCCCCCCTCTTTGGAAACAATTCAGGTTGACCAACTTTATTCATAGAAGTAAATAGTATATTTTAGAAATCATTTCATGTATAATTTACACTTTTTTAAATAATGAAAATCTTGCATACTGGCCCTGTAAGTATTCAATCCATGTATTTGTGGCATGACAATAAATTCCAAATTAGAAAAGTTGTTTCAGACGGATATGTTGTTAAACAGGGCCGACCTCAATGTAATAAAAATAGTTACTTAAACTTGTAACTACAAGTAAATAGACTCAATATCATAACTATCAGACTATTTGTGCCAGCTGTAAATACATTACCACTCATCTTAAGAGTACCGTTAACATGATACCTCTCTTAGATTAACCAGGCCTGTATGGCACCGAAACATATTTCACACTTAATCAGTCTTGAAACACAAGTCTATGGAACTGTATTTACGACATAAACATCACATGAAGAATTAAGGTTAAAGGAATGAAAATGCATTTTCTAGGCTTGAGTTTCTCTTTCGCCATTTTATTTTGTGGTAAGTTCAAAGATTTTTCTGTGCATGGTAATGACAAACAGGAATATTTATGTGTGATTTTATTGGAAACTTTATAGAACTTAAAAAAGCCAGCCAAATTAGAATTACTGCCACCTTCTACTCGTGAAATCTACCACACACCACACAAAACGGTCGACCTAAAGACAATATTCCTGGGCACAAACAAAATAGGTCTACTTGATCTCAGGAAGAACTGCATCCGAATTTAGCAAAAGCGATGGGTTACATAGTGCTGAGTGACACCATGCATTCCAGAAGATTGAGTACACTCAGTGGTTATGCTTATAAACGTAATATTTCTAATGTTTCCTTTTAAACGATTGTTTTATAGTAATACTTAGTTTGGTGGATGGACGAGCTATAACCCGTTATCAAGGAGGACGATTCGGTAGCAGTGATGTTACTGGTGATGTTCTCTCAGGCAATTCTAGGGCACCTTATGGGTCAAGAACTAAACCTGAAATTCGCCTCCATTCAGCACATGGACAACACAGAGAACTGAGATATAGAGGTGGTCGAGGTGGTCGCCATCATCATCAACATCATGACGCAACAGACCCTAATTTTGAAAATCATTTGATGCGTGAATTGAGACGATATTTGTCAGGTAAAGTTCAGTATAACACATGTTTTGATAACATTATAGTGTTATTACAATAACAAGTAATAAGTACACAGCCACAATTGCGTTTTCTAAAGTTACAAAAGACAGGCTTGTAGCCAGACTTGATTGTTATGCGGGCAAGCAATATATCATTAGGGCAATGGGATATGGATTGAAGTAATGAAATTGGTCGGTTGTCACAATTTTTCAGGGGGAGGGGGGCAAAATGTACTAATGATAGAGTTTACAATGTCATATTTTTCGTTTCAGGCACAACTGGCAGAAATCATCACACATTTGTTCATGGTGTAAATAGATATGGAAACCAAGGAGGTGTTTTGTAAATTGATAATGAATTAATAAAGCATGAATTAACTTTGTTTCTTTATATTTGAAACCTACTGCAAATAAGAGTGCTTATCTATAAAGTCATTTGAGGTATCACCGTCCAAGGCATTAGTGATGTCCGTAGCTGTCCATGATTATTAATTTTTGGAATTCGGTGGGTAGCTGAAGGAAGGGATAAGCATGGTGAGACAAGATAGAACCTCATTAATTGTAGACCCGTTTGAAGTTAAAAAAAAAAAAGGAAAAAATCGGTGGATGGTTATGCATCAGAAAAGCAACTGGATTGTCAACAAGTGCTAGCAACTGGGAAAATTTGACAAATACTTGATGTTATCGACCTGAACTGATCAGGCGACTGAAAAGATGCCACGACTTTCTCATGTTCTCTATACAGCATTGAACCTCCAGATATATTACTTATCCCGCCGAACAATCAGGTCTGAATACGGGCCTGAGTCGGTGAATTGGTCTGATGAGATGCATGGAATCGCTCCTAGACCTGAGCTCACCCTTAGATTCTGTCAATTTCATGAGCGACTTCGACAGATTTCATGCTCATTTTCTTTTCAATCTACAGCACTGAGCTAACCCCAGTAAGTTTGTTGTATAAAGAACTGAAAAGACAGAAAAAAATGAGTGCAGACAGACGATGTTATGTAAAAATTTAAAATAAAGTGTAATTGACTAATTACTAATTAGTAATATTAATGATGTTTGATTAATTAGCCTCTAGATAAAACTCTTTATAGAATGATAAATCACCTGCTTATTCAAATGTTCATTTAGGTGTTAGCAACTTGATTACGTGGTAAAAATGCAAAATATCAGTTCAAAAACACTGTCGACATTCTGACTACAGACAACTGTCCTATGAGCACAGTTTTCTGTAGGGCAGTATCCACCCATCTATTATGCCCTCTACCAAGCCCTCTGTCCAGCCCCCTACTCCACCCTCTTTATATCCCGTTACATGCCCTCCATCTATTCATCTACCCTACCCTCTAGCTATTCCTCTACCCCACCCTCTATCCAGCCTTCTATTCCACCCTCTGTATATCCCTTTACCCGCCCTCAATCTATTCCCCTATCCAGCCTACTATCTATCCATCCTTCCAACATGATAATTTAGTCTCTATTAAAGAAAATCATAATGCAGAACATGTCTTCGAAACAGTTGGTATATTATAAATCTTTTTACCGACCATAATCTTTTGACGACTGCAGTAAATACGTGAATCAAAATGGTCTTATCAACACAGCATGCGGCTATAAAAACATTATAAAAGAAGTTGACTTCAAAGATTTAAAAAGTTTTATATTTTATCAGTTATTTGTGGTTTTGTAAATACCCCAAAAGGCAAAACCGAAAATCTTCTTTTTAAAACGGTTAAGCATTGTTTAGTATTTAACGATTTCGTTTTTATACGCCCACATTATAATGTTGAAGCATATTGCCGTCGCATCATCCGTTGATCCGTTCGTATATCAATTTACTTGTAAACAAAGGTTTGATTGGAGTTGAGAAAAATAAAG